ATTATTCATTACGTAATGAGTACTGTATACAGTGAATTCGACGGCTGAATGTCACCACCTGACACGTGGCAAGCGGCATGCTTTGGAAATCAGTTGCAAAGCCATCCAGTTTTACCCTTCCGCACAATAACGTGTCGCTTGGCCTTTCTTTGTGAAGAAAATGGTACAAATAGTAACGTAAATTTTAGCATTTCTGTGCGGAACAAAGCAAAGAGATTTAAAACAACGCTCTGGGAAACAAAATGCGGAATGAAAGCACAACGGGGAAACTTTCTGATGCGGAAAGGTGGTAAAGCTTACGATACATTGAAGGTAGGGGAGTCTCGACGGTGCCGAACGCCGGCTCCGAAAAGTCGGACGGGGCCAACCCTGGGCAGTGGGTGTTGCGTCCGGGCGGTCTGGCAAGCGCATTGGTCAACGTGGAGGGCGTCCAGAGTGTTGCGAAGGCCAAGGGTGGGCGCAAAGTGGTTTCCATCACAAGTAATAATCGGCCAAAATGGACGGTTTCGAGCCGTTGCACGGTACCGTTACCATACCGTTACCGTTATACGGTTTCGAACTGTTGCACGGTGCCACTATCGTTACACGGTTTCGAACCGTTACGCGGTACCGTTACCGCACCTTTACCATTACACGGTTTCGAGCCGTTACACACTGCCGTTACCGTACTGTTACCGTTACACGGTACCGTTACTGTGACACGGTTTCGAACCGTGTAAAACCGTGTCAAAACCATGTCAAATCGTGTGAAAACCATGTGCACTCAATCGTTACTACACGGTTTGGTTCCATTTTGGTACGATAAATACACGAAAAATGCACGATTTAACACGATTTTACATGATTTTCAATCGTGCTATATGGTACACGATTACTACAACCGTGTATTTTGGCCTGTTCTTTGCTGGTGGAACGCCGATTCCGTGAAGTCGGATGGGAGCAGCCCTGGGCAGTGACCATTGAGTCCGGGCGATCCAGGAATTGCAATGTCAACGCTGACGGCGACCGAATGTTGTGAAGGCCAGGGCTGAGCGTAAGGTGGTCTCCATGAGGTCCAAGCCGCACGCTTCCCGGCACGCATCATTTGGAAAAAAATGGCGCAAGATAGGGACATGAATGGATGGCCCGAATAAAATCACTCCCATTTTCAGCATCGCCACATTATTGCCATGTCATTGCCACGTTGTTGTTGTCGATACTGTCAAGCCATCGGGATTAGGCCACCAAACCCTTCCAATAGGCAGCAAGTGCGGCCGCAGGAGCGGAGATAGCAAGCAAGCTCGATCGTCCCAATTATCGTCTCAGATCGTGTTGGCCCCCATTTTCGGTCATGTCAAGGGGAGGCGCTACACATGCAATCCCCATGGGCGAAGATGGGTCCAGGGGGCATGGCGGACGACGAAGTAGCCATGACTAATTGGCCAATTAGTAAGGGGCCGTAGCTTGTTTTGCAAGGGGTTTAGGGGGAGGGGGGGGACAGTGCCAACGTTTGGATGTTAGCTCAGAGCAGGTAATTTACAGCATGAATGATGTGAAGCCTTTCTAAGATCTAATCTTTCAAATGTCCTTGCCGAATTATTTCGGCAAGCACGTTTGAAAGATGCACCTGGCATTGCACAGGCGCTTTCCAAGAGCTTGGCGTGGTTCATGTGCGAGCGCACTTCCACACCTGGTTGTGCACAACGTGGTTGCTTTAAATCTCGGTGACAAATGGATGTTTCTTGTCCTTGCAGCCGTATCTCTTTCCATGCTCTGAGGGTTCGCGAGACTTCGCCTTGTCACAGCCTTCGAAATGCACAGCAGCTTGGGAACTAAACGCGTTAGACCATGACGTCACATGACGTGTTCATCTTGCCAAACTTCTTGTTCAGCCGTCCCCGCAATGCTGGACGGCGCCCTACACAAGGCTGAATGGAGTTCTCAGTCCGTCTACACGATATCGACAACGGCTGGAACTATTAATGATCCTGGAAAGTCGCGTCCGGTATTCAATTGTCGATCCAACGGAAAAGCAAACGTAGTGATGACAAATGACCAGCACGCATACAAAACAACACGGTTTGGTCTCATTTCAACACCTTTGCTACAAGCGCTGTCGAATCTCCAGTACATTGGCAATGCACATTGCTCTATTCTCAATGCACTGTCATCGCGGGGACCACTACTCTGTTTCCCTGCCGAGACTTGTCGCCAACAGTTCCTCACCCACCGCACAACCAAAAAACAAACTGCAAAGAACTAAATGCATTGCAATGAGAATCGAACTATATGGCTCTTCTGATGCCCAGGCGTTCCCTCTTGAAGCCACGCCCAGTGGGGCCAATGTGCCGCCACTCCAATCTACGGCTGTCACGGCGCGCTGCCGCACATCTGCACCACAATGCATCGAGAGGCCAGAACCGAGCCTCCCGCCAACCCACGTTCACTGTGCGGCAAACTCGCGCGTCCTCCCACCTCCCACTTTGTTGCCGAAACTGCAGCGCTCTGCTCCATCCAGTCCAGCGGTACACATTACGTTGCGTCAACGGGCCAGGAGCCTGGACACTGCAGCGCCATCGCTGAATTGCATCATTAACAGTAACCATATTAATAATCGTTGAATATAATGTTAAGAATCGTTGAATGATTCGGGCAGAGTTCGGGCCGAATTCCTTGCCTTGAAATCTGCCTCCCCAAGGCAAAGCGGCACAGTCTCGCCTCGCGGGCGACGCTGGGACTCTTCCACACGCTCCCAAAGCGCAATCGAGGAAGTCAACGAATCCACGTCGTGCATTTTCTTCCGCATTTTTCCTTCCGCATTTTTCCTTCCGCATTTTTCTCTTTCAATTTCTTTCGGGACTTTTGCTCCTGCTTTCCCTTCGGCACCTTTTTCTGCATTTTCTTCGCACTTTTTCCTTGCATCTTGCACTTGCGACAAAGGCAAAATGCGAGTGTGTTACTCTTGCGCTTTTAACGATGTCAAATTCCAACATCCTCACGGCGACGGTTCCGATGCGGTATCACTCAAGTGAGGCCTCCTTGGAGAGGCGCTTCCTGTCCTGGCGCTCCTCCTCGTCCATTTGCATTCCCTCTTTCTTTTGCATTTTGTACACTTTCTGCATTTCCCTCTGCATTTTTTGGGCAATTTCCGTGCCTCGTGAAGACGGTTCCGAAGTGCTGTCGCTAGAGTACGAGGCCTCCTTGGAGAGGCGCCTCCTGTCCCGTCGCCCCTCCTCGTCCGCTCGCACTTTTCCTTTTGCATTCTTACAATTTCTTTAATTTTTCTTTTACTTTCTCCTCTGCACCTTCTACTGCAATTCCTTTCGCAATTTGCATGTTCTGCTCCTCATGGCGACGGTTCTAATGCGCTGTCACTGGAGTCCGAGGCCTCCTTGGACAGGCGCTTCCTGTCCTCGCGCTCATCCTCCTCGCCCTGCGGCCGCCGCTTTCTGCCGATCCTCGAGGCGTCCCCCGCCGCGCAGCCTCCTTAAGCCGAGCGTCCTCCCTCCACTTCTCTTTGAGGGCCTCCAACCTGCGGCCAGCGCACGCGCTCAGTACTTAGGGCTACGCTTTGGGCTCTACTTGAGGCTCTGCTTAGCGCTCTGCTTACAGCTATATACTTCCTCCGTCCGAGATCAATTGTTGTCAATTGACTTTGGGGCATTCTATCGTACTTGCACCAGTATTTCGAGAAATTTCACCCAAAGCTGTGCTGTTAAGTTTGGAGCATGGTATCAAAATTTCAAGTCAATCCATTAACTATTGAGAATTTGGCAGTACTTGTACCAAGGGACTTTTTCCCCAGTAAACCTCGATATTTGGGGTCAACAATGACCAAATTTACCTTCCATCTAGCGCTCAAAGGTGTCGTGTCTCACTTTTCCTTCTGGAAAACTAGTAGTTTAGGGGTTTTGGGGGCCAGCCTTTCTGATTCTGAACTTGTTTTGCAATTTTGAGGCCGTCCTTGTAACGAATTTTGTCTTTCAAATAAGGCGAAATTAACTCCATGATCAGGTGCCCAAATCTCAGACACCTACAGCCGCACCCGTACAAGTGCTTCCACGAGAAACCGTCCGTTCCTTGTTGGCCGCCGCAGCATGGGAGCGGGGCCAAAACTCCGGGACACCGTGCGATGACGGTTCATGCCGTGTTGACTGCAATGAATGCGACCTGAGAGTGCTCTAGCAATATGCGCTACCGGCTACCACTTTCGTTGCCTTTGCACGATGCCCAACAGGAAACCTGTTTGCCGCCAAAATGTTCGATGTGACCTTGCAATTCAAAACGCACATGGGGAATCGCAGGGCCGAAGGTCAGGCTGCGTTGCACAACAACTGGCCACCACCTGTACGCACGTTGAGTCCGGATGCCTGCAGCTGCATCCACGGATGGACGACTCAGGAATGGGGTTGGGGGTTTGGAGATGCATTCGTCCTAAGCTATTTTGCCCTGCCCGGCTTTGGCAACTCCCAAGAGGCTACGGGGAGCGACCCAAAGACCCTTGCTGGCAGTTGTTCACGGTCCAACATCCATCCCTCATGTCAATCGTGGTGATCGGGTCGCAGCAAAACTTGTGACGATCCCAAGATGGGCAGCCACACTGGGTTTTCTGTCACAAAGCGCCTCTCTCCCGGTCAGCAGGGCTTGCGAATGGCCAAGAATACACTTCCTTTTGGTCAAGCCATGACAGGGATCGATCGTCGGCACTGCTCAGCAGTCTAGCCTCACGCCGGCCCTAAATAGCGTTTGTCATTTTGAGGGACGATCTCAAACTCTGGGATCGCCCACGCCCTACATTCCAGTCAACTTCTAGCATAAGGAGTTTCTGCAAGTGCTTCTAGTGGTACTGGACTCATATGTAGAGCGCGTCGCAAACCTCCATCGCCAAGCTGGCCGTAGTCGTAAGGTGTTGGGAGGGTGAGCACTGCCCTAGGCTGGGTGGCGCCGGCAGCCATGTTGGGGCGTTTCCATGAACGAAACTGTGCTGGTTTCAAGAGGTGGGCAACAGCCCACTCACAAGCACGCTCCGTTTCCGATCCGCTGGTCAGAGCACTTGCGCGACTGGCGCTCCTGCCCCCTCAATGCTGAGAACGGGAAGACAACGAGGACCAGATGTCACACGTGACTCCCCATCCCCTTTTTGGGAGAGCACTGCAAAGCGGGATATTCGGATCTGGACACAAAATTCGCGCCATGGCAACAAGACAGCATGTGCTCTATGCGTTCAAAACCTCAAGTCAATCGGAGCACAACTCGCTCCGGGACGCCAATTTGAAAATTTGGTGTCCATGCGTGACACGCCTGGAACACTGTGTCCCGTTGCGCAGGAGGCTAATTTTTGAATTTGGACACGAAATTCGGATTACGTCATTTAGGTGGGAGATGCAAGATGCGGTCAAAATTTCAAGCCGATATGAGCAAAACTCGCTCCGGAACGCCAATTTGAAGTTGTGGGGTGTCCATTGGGGGGGGGGGGGGGAAACAGGACGGGGGGGGGGGGGGGGGCCCAAAAACGGTGACCCGAATCGTGGAGTTGACCGCGACAATTAATCATGGACAGAGGAAGTATATATTTAGGCCACTACATAAGGTTATACTTTGGGGCATACTTTGGGCTTCACTTAGGGATACACATAATGGTTCATTTAAGGCTTTACTTGGGGGGCTGTGCTTGGGGCTGTGCTTAGGGTTGTACTTAGGACTGTACTTGGGCACCTATTCTTAGAGTGGGCCCAGCACCGGCCACACCGTGCAGTGCATTTTACGTTGCTGTCAGGTGAATTTTTCAACGCGTTTGAATTGTTGGTATGCTCATGCTCATCACTTAGAGCGGGCTCAATGCCAGGCACAATGTACAGCGCATTCTGCCTTGCTCTCATGGCAATGTCTGAACGCGTTCCAATTGTCCTCATGCTGATGTCTACACAGACCACGGGTCTCAACGGCACTAAACCCGTGGGAGCAGTCCTTGTGGACAAACTACCCCAGAACATCTTTTCAGGCAGAAGTGGCAAAACCATGTGTCATAAATCTATCTTTGAAAGTACTGGGACCATGTACTTTTTTTTTCCCAAGAGCGTGTCTCAAGGAAACGGTCCTTAAGGAACATGACTGCTCATATGCAAATACGTCGATGACGAAGGAGCGTGTGGAGCGCGCACTGCTATCCATACTTGCCGTTATGCTAACGTCCAACCAGGCCAATAACAGTGTTCGATGGGCCACATTTTCATCCTTTAAATATCCAAATACAGCCAATAACAGCGTTCGATGACAAGACCATTTATTGTGCAAATGTCTAAACATGGTCATCAATGGTGTTCGATGGGCAAATGTTCTACCACACAATGTCTATACCCGACAGCCACTGCAGTTCGATGGCGAAAATTCTATCATACTAATGCCCCAACTCGCCCGTTAGCGGCGTTCTATGGAATCAAATTGAGTAAATAAAATGTAATCAACTTGTTGGCTTACATTATAGATTAATAAATGAATGCACAAGTAAATATACATATAAACATATAATAATTTGGGCCAGCACCTCTTGGCATGCTCCTGCGCCCTCCGCTGCCTGTCACGCTCCTCTGCCTCCTCAGCGCGCCGCCGCTCCTCGGCCGCCTGCCGCCGCCTCTCCATCTGCTCCTCCAGCTGCGCCTTCTTGCGCGCCTTCTCGGCGTCCAGCGCCGCCTTCCTCTTCAAGGCGTCCTCCAGGATGACTTTGGCCTGGGGGCAGCAGGAGCGGGGTGCTGGAGGCCGTTTGGGTATAAAGCACTAAGTATTGAGTACCAGTCACTTAGTATTGCTATAGGCAGTACTTAAGAGTAATGCCAAATGCCAATAGCAACTCGCATTTGGCAACACCCAAGTGTCAAGCGCCGCCTTCTTCATGGCATCCTCCAGAATGGCCTTGGCCTGAGGGTGGCAGGCCCGGCACGTTGGAGGCCACTAGGGGAGCAAGCACACAATACTGAGAGCCAAGTACTAAGCATTGCTTTACAGTGCTCAGTACTTAGTAGTTGCTAGCACTCAGTAGTTGGCACTTGGTAAGTACTAAGTGCCAAATACTGCATGTTGTCTTCATGATGTCCTCCAAAATGACTTTGGCCTGGGACCCGCAGGCGCAGCACGTTGGAGGCCGTTTGGTATAAAGCACTGATTGACAACCAAACATCAAGCACTAAGTGTAAACACTGGGTACTACAAAGTACCCAGTGATTGATACTTGGCAAGTATCAGATTGATAAGTGCCAGGCGTCAAGTGCTGAGTGCTCAGTAGATGTAATGGGTGCTGGGATACAGTGCTTTCTGTTGGGGTGCACAGTGCCAGTAGTGAACAACACGGCAAACGATGCTCTGCAGCATGCTTGCCCCAGGGGGTGATTAGTTAGAGCACGGGTTGCTAAAGCAGTGGGCTGGCCTGTCCTAGCCTGGGCTCATGTACTTGATGAGCAAAGAACTGGCCACTTAAAATAGTTTCCTTCTGCTTTCCTTCCACATTCTTCACTTTCCAACCTGTTTACCCAGGACATGCTCTGCTACACAAACTGGTTGCTTGCCAATCTTTCCAATGGGCCCCACCGCTTGGAGCCACCCTCCTTTTGGTGCGAAATTCACCAGTCGTTGCAAACTTCAAAATCTTCCTTCAACACATGTGCATTAGTTTACTTATCGCTGGTTGTTCAAGCACTTGGCATGCATCAGATGCATGCAGATGCCCATAGCAGATTCCATTTCAACGGATGCATATTGCTGCAAATAGATTCCATTTGAACAGAACAGTGCGGAACTCTGGCAGCCATCTATTCAGTCCGCATGACACCGCATATCACTACAGGCACCCCACACTTTCTTCATGGACCCCACACAGAAGTGTGAGTTCCCCTACTTTGGTGCACAATGTCACCGGCAGAGGGCAAGCGGACACCCCCCCTTAAAGCAACACCACGGCCGTGGCATGACTTCAGGCCATTGGCCAAAATCATGCCCTGGCTGTGGAGTTACAAATGTTTGACAAAGCTTTGCATCAGAAGATCCCCAATTTCAGGAAATCTCTCTGCCGGTACAGGCCACCCGTACCTTCTTCATGGATTCGACGCAGAAGTGCACATGGCTGGCCAGCTTGGCCTCGTGTATGCCAGTCTTGCCAGCCCCCGCCTTTTTAAGGGATGTGAAGTGTCGCAGCGCCATGGAGAGCTCCTCGGTGGCCTGCGTGTACTCCTCCACCTGGTGCGCCTCCCCATTGGGGCTCTTGCGTGTTAGCGTGCGCCAGCCGTGCTCCTGATGACAGCAGCGCAGTCCAAAACTTTTGAGGATCAATTCGATCAAAATGCAATTCTAATTCTTGTTGGGGATTCCTGAGCAGAACTGAGTACCAAGCCTTTTTCCCACACACCAACTGGCCCCTTTGGATGGTGAGCATCGTAAAATACTGCGCTCCTAAAAGGTGGAGAGGAATGGTCCCCACTTCACAGAACATTCCACGGCACCATATCACAGTGTCTTACTTCTCATTACACTATTTGCAATGTAGAAATTTTAACAAACACCATAACAGACCTATTACAGTGAAACAGCCCATTCTTCGAAGCACATTCACACACCACAACATTTCACACCTGAACAGTCAAGGCCACATTGAACTGCAGCGAGGGGTCGTCAGGCATGGTGTGCATGGCCTTCAGCAGCGCCTTCTTGGCCTCCTTCAGCTGGCCCTTGTCATAGTGTGCCCGAGCCAGGTACACCAGCAGAGCCGGGTTCTGGTGCTGGTAGAACTTTGCCAGCGCACCCTGGTACAGCTTTATGGCGCTGTCGTAGTCGCCGCAGCCCAGGTGCAGGTTGGCCAGGTTCACCCACACGTCCGGGATCTTCAGGAAGCCAGACTGGGAAGCTGCGGCCTCCTGCACCTGCACGAAGCCGGCGGACGCAATCGCGATTATAATGCAGATGTGTATTTCCATATATTGTGAGAGTCACTGCTGCAATTGCGGTAACAATACAGATACTTCTTTATGTGCTACAGATATACATCAGAAGTATACTTCTACACTCTGAAAAAGATATGTGCTTCTGGGACGCCGTTGTGACTGTCTGGCCGAATGTCATTCTGGATACCATTCACATTTATTCTGTCCGACAGAAATTCTGTCGGGGCCCTGCTTCACAAAAAAGAGGTAAAAGGCTCAATGATTTACATTTGCTTGGTTGTGCCACTTTTCCCTGCAACTCTGAAATTGAATGTCATATCGAGTGAACCTGAGGTTCAAATTTCAGAAATTGAATCAATATCAATTTCAGAAATTGAACTAAATTCAATTTCGTCATTGTAATGATATCGGGCCAACCAACAGAGCGATGTTGACGAAGCTCGATGCCTACTTTTCCACCCTGTTTGGGTGCTATAACAGGGGGGGGTTGGGACAGACAAGGCCAGAACAGCAAGGTCACTCTGCTCAAATGGAGCAGCGTCTCCAGTGAGGAAAACGATTGTCCATGCAGAACAACTAAACCAGTTGGTTAGTAACCATCATTTTACAGAACTGTGCACAACTTTTCTTGAGGATTGTCTTTTTAGAACTTTCAAGATTCCTGGAAGAATTTTCAAGCATTGCACCTGTTCATTTACTAGTTTATATGCTGATATCCCAGCTCAGCTTCTTCTTTTCACCCATGGGGGCCGGTAGGGTGCACTTACCTCTGTGAAGATCTCCTTGGCCACCTCCAGGTGCCCCAGTTCGGCGAGCGCCGCGCCCAGCCCGTTCGCAGCATATACGTTGGACATGTCCTTCTCCAGAGCCTTCTGGTAGTACTCAAGGCCTTTCAGGAAGTGCTGGCGGGCACGCTTCTCGTCGCCTTCCCTGCGGCGCTCACCTGCCGCCGCCGTGCCACTTGTTTGCCGCCAACCACTTACAATCTCATAAAAAGGTATTAGTGTGATTGTTTCCTGTGGATATACTAAGTAATACGACTATGCAAATAATGATCAACCAACCATACTGACTAATGTACCGACTACCATGACTATGTTAATCATGACTAGCTAACTTGACAAACTAATATGACTACTAAAGTGACTATGTCAATAAACAAGATAGAAATGAACACCACAATCGCTGTATAATTCTGATCTTGCTTGACATTGGCATGCATCAAGACACAGTCTTGTTTCATTGTCAAAGAGACATGGGCTCCTAATGTAAGGGACTCACCCTCACCTGGCGCACTGTACATGTTGAGCGTGGCCATGGCCAACAAGGCATAAGGGTCGCCCTGGCACTTGCCCCCCTTTATCAGCTTGTCCAGCAGCTGCTTGGCCTTGTACCAATTCTTCTGCTCCGTGTGTAGCACTGCCAGCAGCAGGGTTGCGTCTGTGTGGTCAGCTTCGACGCTCATGGCCTTCTGGGCCCACTGGACTGCAGACTTCATGTCGCCTGAGCGCTGCGCTAAGTACGCAAGGCGGATGTAGCAGTCCGTGTACTTAGGAAAGTCCTCGATGATTTTCTGTGGGGTTGGGTGCAAGTTCAGGTGAGTGAAGGGGGGTGCTGTGGGGAATTCATGTACTCAGCTGTACATAACTGTACTTAACTGTATATGCTTAACTGTGTTCCTATAGTGGTAGTGTATTAATACATAACAGTGTTGCCACGTACGGGTAAGCAGTGTGTTAATGTGCAGCAGCGCGTGCTGTAGGGTGCGTGTTTTCAAATCTGGGCAAAGCAGGTCACATGTGTTGTGCATGAAACAAGCTGATGTTGTTGATCAACGTATCAATGCACATGCAATGGATTACATGACGTGGACCAAATGGACGTTCATCAGCATTGGGGAGACACAGATTCTATAACATTGAAGCTCACTCGAAGCTGCAAGCCGGAATTGCTTGGTCGAACATAGCAGAGGCTGCAGTCCTTCAAAACTGCCAGCAAAGATACAAAGGAATGCCTTTGATGGGCATGCACATATCCAAGAACGTCTTAGGTACCATATCGTTTATATTAAAGCAGTAGAGGCGACCAGTGCTCACCTCATAGCCCCGTTGAGCATCGCTTGCATTTCCTGATGCTTCTTGAAGCCTCGCCAGGTTGAACGCCAGCGTGACATGATTCCATGTGCCTGGGAGTCCATCCGGCTGATTATTGTGGATCCTGCTGGCCTGCTCCACAAGCTGCAGGGCCTTTGGAATGTCTCCAGCCCTGTGCGCAAAGTCGTTGGCATCAGGATTGTCCAGTTGTGGTGAAAGGAGACAATTGGGGCTGCTTGTCAACATAGGGATGCACAGCTCTGCACATATTGGCACCACAGATAACTGGCACAGCTGACACAAGTATCTGTACAGATGTGTGCCAACAGGCCCCATCACCCCTCGCTGGTGTGCCCCATCAATAGATCCAAATTCTTAGACACTCGAAGTCCCTACAGTACCATCCATCCACAGCAACTATCCGTCTGTGCACTGCATTTATCCATCCCTGCATATCTATGTGCAGATATACATGTTCTGAGCAGTAAAAGGCTTGTCTGCCATTGGAATTCTCGTGCTTGTTCTTATTCCAACCAGCACATGTGCAGCAACACTGCTCAAAAGCTGAAGCTTGAGCCACAGCATGGTGTACACATGACAGATTGCAAGCAGGAAAGTGCACATAATGATGGAAGGCCTCTAGGCTAGTGGACGACAAGGAAAAGCCGCTGCACTACAATTATCCCCAATGCGGTCAACATTTGTGGCTGTGAATAGTCCTCAACATCTCCAGATAGAAGCAGAGGCAGTGATTCAGTATGTCCCCAAGATGACAAGCTCAAGGATATTTGCTGCCATAGATGTGTTCGAAATGGACAAGGGAGAGAGGTCCTGTAGGTGGCTTGAGCCCCACAACGTTGGGGGCCCACAGATGTCTGCATAGAACGTTGTTCCATTTTACACACTGATGAGTTGCACAGGATACACATGACTTCATGTTGCTCCCCGCAAAACACAAGAAACACTCCCTCTGCACAGCCCAACCTAAACAGAGACCTCCCACTTTTTAGGTGTGCGAGCGAGCAAAGATTCCTCCAGCAGGTGCTCACCTGTAGAACATGACAGCTGCATTGTTCATGAGCTGGACGCCTGGCTCCTCTGCCATATCCAGTCCCTTCTTGAATGCATTCAAAGACGCTGCAGACAAACATTTACCAGGGTTGGGACATCAATCATGTAGAAATGTCTGACCACACAGGTGGCAAGCAGAAAAAATGAACAGATGCCGGATTTCAAAATGTTCTTGGACACATAAATTCCTATCGTTGCATATAATGTGCAAGGGCAATTGGTTTGTCTTGTAGAAGGCAATTCCAAAGGATTGGAGCTGCAGACAAACAAGATGCCAAGATGTTCATGCCTTTGGTAGATCGGACAAAAGGTGGCCAAATGAATTCCACAGTGAGCGTGCCGAACTGGTACAAGCGTTGCATGTGGGTGAATGAGCATTTGTTGGATGCAGCCACTTCTGTCATACCCTGCAGAACTGATGGGCGGGTTGATAGGCAGTTAATAGGCAGGTTGATGTGCCTTGCTTTGACACTGCAAATTGCCACAATTCGTCCAGCACTTCAGCACAACCTGCATCAGAACACTTGTCCAGCACTTGTTCCAAACCGTACCTGCTGGATCCAGCGGGGCTAGCAGCTCACCCAGCAGGCCCCAGACCTCGGCATCCTGATGGTGGCGCGCCGCGGCGACTCTCAGCAGACCCACTTTCTCCCCTGCTTTGGTTGGAAGCTGGGGATAGAGGTGGGCCAGTATCTGTCACACATTGCAAAAAGTCGGCAAAAGCCAGAAACCATGACAAAAACAGGACGACAGAAAAGCAGCTTGTCAGGAGTTGCCAGGCGCTGTCAGCTACCGTCAACAAAAGGCATGGTAAGCCATGACAAAGCCCTTGCACTGTGCAGGGGCATTGCAAGCCAAGAATCTGCCATGGATGTCGACTTCTGTGTGGCACGGCTGCCAAAGAAGCCATGAAATATTATGCATTTTTTCTGAGCAAGGACGGGAGCCCAAGTCTCTCACAGAAAGTGGATGTGACCTTGCAACAACTTGTGCAGGGTGTCTGTGGACACAGTATGGTCTTGTGTGTGTACTCGTGTGTACTTGCATGTGTACTCGGACATGCGTGGGTGCCTCTCCCTGAACGAGTGGAGTTGGAACACAATGCAATATCATGTTTCCGATTTGTGTGCACAAGGTAACTGAAGTTGCAGATGCAAACCTTCCTTGTTCGTGCTTGGGAGGAAGATAGAATGCCTAGATGCTGTGGATTGCCTGGGATGAAGATACAATGGCCCTCCACCCCTCCCTTTAAGGGAGGCAGGCCTTAAGATATGGCAATCACCTAAATTAATGGCCCAATTTGCTTGTGATATGTACCTTCTGTACCCCATTCTCTTGTACAACTGGTGCAAATTTTCATCTTCCCCAATAGTTGTCAGGATATGACAGGAGGCATCTCTGCCACAGTCCATCCCAACACACGCGCACCTTCACAATGCAACACAACTGTCATCGCCACTCCAGGCACAAAGGCCTTATCTTGCCATGTGTCGTGTACAAATCCGGTTCTAAGTAACAGTGGCAACAAGAGCACTACAGCGGTACAATTAGGAGTTTTATGCTGACGGGACTTACAGCTAAGAGCTTCACAACAAATTAAACTCACAAAATGCACACACAAGAACGGGTGCCAGTGTGACCTTCATCGCAATGCAGGTGCAAGGGCACAGCATTTTGCCCTCTGCATTAGCCTTTTCTGTCCTTTTCATTACAGTTGCAACCAAGATTCCAAAACCCAATCGGGATGCAGTACAAAAAAGCCAATTACAATCTTGGCAAGGCGCAAATCAAGGATTCACACACACCCACCCCGTCTCTGTGAATTTCTTTCCCATAGGATTTACAGATATCATCAATTATCAATGTGAAGGGGATCCCTTCATCGCTTTGACAAAAGGGAATCCTGCCTCCACACTGCTGGACCTTGGCAGCTGGGCCCCTGTGGGCAGTGCCCAGGCTGTCCTACACCTGGCCAAGGGCCCGATACAGTCTTCATGGTGGCCATGCCTAAATGTGCCCCAGTCTGTGTTCATTGCAATTTTCGCAGCAACCATTTCTTCAAAAAACGCATGCCCACCCACCTTCAGTGCATCCACTGACCCCGGCACAATTTTCAACACAGCCTCCAACTCTGTGATGGCATTCTTGTCCTCCCCCTGCTTCAGGTAGAGCTGTGCGAGGCCGTAGTGGGGCAGTGGCAGTTTGGCATCGAGCTGGCAGGCCTGCTCGTCAGGACGCAAAGGGAAGGGTACTCAGCATGGGTGATTGCTGTGCTGGTTGTATGGTACTCGCTGAAATGCACATTTACACAAGGGAGCACACAAGGAGGTACAGAAGGGCATACACAACATACACAATGTAGTAGGATATACACGATACTGCAAACACCCAGCAGTGCTGCGCATATCCTGATTGCATGATATATGTGAAGTGCAATAACACATGGAAGTGACACGATGGTTGTCCTTATGTGGCAATAGGACAATCTTGTGAGCAACGCCAGCAAAAAAATCCATGCAAACATTGTTGTTCCGCACAAATTCTGTGTCAACAGTGTGCAGACGAGTCATGTGCATCCTTCACCACTCAACATAGCGCATCGGACTGTATTACAACGCAAGTTCTTCAGGAAACCAAAAAAAGTACTTCACCTATGCGTAGAGGGGTGCATTTCTTTCTATTGTAGTATCAATTGCTCTTTCCATCAGAATCATGAAGACATAGACATGAACGTGCCCTAAACATATCATAGAAAGTGTTGTATGCAAAAGCCATTGACGAGCACCCTGTTTGATGAGATGGGGGTGTTACCAAGAAACCATCGAGGCCCAGTCCGTACAGTGCTATGCACCTATGCTTCATTTTAAGGTCATACTCTGGCTGTGTGTTCCCTCCACCAATGGCAATCGCGCCCAAACACGAGAGACACAAATAATGTGGCACATATATGATATACAACACAAACAACATAGCCTGTAAAATGTTACACATCAGTTGCAATATAACACATAGTGCACTGTCCTATTACAATTCACAGTATCTGTTCCTCATCCCAAATCCTAATCCAGTGCACCCCAGGAGGGGCTGGCCACCTGCAGGTAGTGCTGCATCGCCTTGACGTTCTGCCCCTGGGCATGGTACGCCCTCGACAGCAGCGACAGGCTCTCCGCCCGGCAGTCGGCATCTGACCCCAGCTCGAACGCCGCGGCTGCCAGCTGCTCGGCCTTCTTGTGGCTACCCCGCACGAGGCACAAGTGGGACAGCAGGTTGAGGGTGGCGGGGTGCTCGGGCTCCAGCTCGTAGGCCTGGGCGAGGCACTGCGCCCCCTGCTCAAGGCCCTGTTGGCAAAGGGGGCAAAGCGCGGGGATCATCTTGGGCTTGCTGACCGGCTTGCCGGCTTGATGAAAGGTCTTGCCTGGTCCATGTTGTGGCAAGCATGTATGGCATGCTGTCAAGTTGCAGCAGGCATGTATTGCATGTTATGTACAGCATGCATAACTTACATACCATGTAATAGTCCATTACTGTTGCAGCCATAATTTACAGACATGTAAGCAATGGAATTGGACAAGGTTAAACGTTGGGAGCTGATCTCTCAAGTTTGACGTGGTAATCTGGAACACGAGGGCAAAAATAGCAACACTAAAGAAGGAAAACGGTGGAAGGGAAGGAAATAGATGAAACAAAAGCAGCGATGCTCAGAAAGAGGAAGACACACACAAGCAAACGATGAAAGTGTACTGTGAACTATTCAACCCTTCCGCATAGCAACATAACACTCGGCCATTACTTGCAGAACAACATAAACAATAAACAGTAACACTCTGAAAAGAAGAATGCTGAGGAAAAAGCGCAACGATCAAATTTTCTGATGCGGAAGTTTTTGAGTGTACAGCAGTAAGTACAAAAAAATGGAAGGAGACAGACAGATCAAAACAGTGGGGCACAAAGGATCGCCCACCCTGGCTCGGTCCTCATCATTGAAGGACAGGTTGGCCAGTCCTCTGAGGGCGTCTGTGCAGCAGGGGTCAATCTGCAGGGCACGCCCGTATGCAGCCGCTGCGTTGGCGAACTTGCCCAACTTGAAGCAGCACGCACCGATGCCCACGCGAACCTCAGCAGGGCAGCTGGGGTGCTCTGACAGCGCGTACTTGTAGCTGGGAGGCAGGCACACCAGAAATGCATTCATAGAAACAGGCATCCAACAGCCGATGAAGATCACAGTATTTGGTTCTGTATATAAATACTGTTTGGGGTGTATATTATGAGCAAAATGGTGGCCATTGTCAATGGATGGGTTTCAAGGTTGCCGAGATGTACCAGGAGCAGGTGGAGGCACAAGCACATTCCAGCGTCGATACTGCAAGCAATCTGATTATCAAGAACACAGGGGATGGACGGATGGTTGCTTGGACGCTCAGCAAGTTTCCTACCATCCAGCCAAGCAGCACCGGGATACACATGCAGATTAACACTGAGGCGTTTGACACCCACCATTCCATTTAATTACTGTCATGCTGTATGTGCGGCACTGCAATTGTTACACTGGCACCACAATTTGTTGCGCACAAGTCATTGTTTGTTCTGTCATATTTGATTCATTTGCTACACATAAATTGTGTTTCTGCTCATTTGCTTGACAAACATCTGGTACTTATTTCACATGTAACATAGACTTATGTGTTCTCATGCTCTTGCCTTCATTCTATTCACATATTCATTTGCCTATCTACAATTCGATCTATCATTATCTGGCATGTTTCGATACCTACTATGCCAGAGCTTCTCTGTATTTGCTTTCACGGAACAAAGCCGACGCAACCGCCAGGTATGCCGCTATGTTGTCCTTGCCCCCGTTTTTCTTCTTCAGCGCAACCAAAAAGTCGCGTTTCCCACCAGCGAAGTCACCCTTTGGGCACAGAACACTCAGCATCAGTGCCCAGCCAAGCAGCCAATTGACAGATTCGTCATAACAAACATCCTTGCGTATTCCCGAACATTCCAGAATGTTCTAAGAAATTGAAACAGAACCAGTAATGTGTCAATCCAAGAGGTGGTGGGTCTGCATCACCCTCGGGCTATGCTTCCATAGCAACACCACAGCAGACACTGCCAGTTAGGCTCACTGTGACTCAGTCCCTGCAGCAGTCTGCAGCGCAGAAATGTGACGTTCCAGAATCCACAGACAAGTCCTGCATTTCGGTTTGAAGATGGATGTAGTTCCAAGTCCATGGAGAATGCCTTTACAAACGGACATTGTGCGGAAATAACTGTCATACATTAAACCAGGCCCGCCGATCCCACCTTCGCTGGCCTCATTTACTGTTGAAGATGAAATCAGCACTTGTTCACAAACGACTCAGATTTTGTGGTCTTGGAATTCGCCTTTTTTGTGACCACCAGCTCTGTGTGTTGCAGATGTGTGGTGAGCGGACAGGAGGTTCATATTATCCTGATGACAGAAAAACGTTTTGGATGTGCTTTTGTACTCACCCGTCATCGCCTCAAACATGCAAGGACCCCACTTTGCCTTTTGAGGCATTTTCAAACAAAGGAATGTTGGTGCACTCCAGCAATTCTTATCATCTTATATGTCACCATAAACCTAATCCCCAAGCCAAAACACAAAAAACTGCCACTCAACTACCTCAAACTACAAGACCAGCCGAAATACAACCTGACCACCAAACTACTGAAAAGACAGAATTTGCACCTGAATACACAGGGGTAAATGTGCTCTCACCTTTGCCATCGCGAGCATGCCGGACAGCAGAAACGGCAGCTGCTCCCGGCTGTCAAGCTGCCGTGCACGTGACACAAGGTTGGCTGCAGACGCCAGGTGCTCATCACGAGACGTGGGTTCCCTGGCCGCTTGTGCAGAGGCAATGTCGTGGCTCGCCAGGGCACACAGCGCCTGTGCGCATCCAGAGAGCCTTTACTCTTCCATTCATTGCTTGTTCATTTCTAATCTTTGCTCTCCTATAATTTACGTACTTCAAGAACATATACTTCAAGACCATGCTTGAGAAGTATGGTTGGATATGCAGAATAGCCCTGACAATTCCCTGGCAACTTGCAGGCCCATGACAGTCATGGATACAGCCGCATTTTTGACCTCACTTTCCTTTTCAATTCTACCACCATGTGCATGCATTGTAGATGGGTGGCAAGCAGGGATATACAAACGCATGAGGGACAGCAGAGCCTTTCAAGTGTGTGCCGGCCACCATCGCCTGCAAAATGCAATAGTGCCCAGGAGAGGTGACAGAAGGAATGATAGCCAGGAATCGCTGACTGGTTGCACACGTCGAAGGGAAGAGTGTCTCTTGATGGAAGAAAATGGACAAAAATAGCTCTACATCCCATTCCTTGTCAATGGGCCCAGACACAGGAATTGCGTTGGGAAGGGTTTTCTTGATGTGAGGAATTCAATGCTCAATAATCAGAAGGGGCTGTGGCACTTTTCCCTGCCAAGCATTGCAATGTGCTTGCAAAACCCTGGACAAAACTATGGCACCTGCAAATTCGAGCCCAGCACAGACACCAGACACGACTGCTGTGCCACGCTATCACTGCGGTGCTGCAGCACCCCGACTGCCGCATTTCACAACGTCTGTATGCATTGCAGACAGGTGGCCATCAGACAAATGACTGTGCAAGGGGCAGAAAAACGTTCTGAATGTTCTGAAAAAAGCACACGTCTGCCTGCTTTGTCTTTTGAACGCAAATCTAAACAAAGGAGCTAATTGCAGCTTTTCACACCGCAAGCGCACAAAACAAACGTACGACGGACACAAAACGCCCTGACATACACAACCGTCACTGCCCGCAAGCTGCAAGTGCCCTGCTTCATCTTTCCTTATCTTTGTCTCCGCATTCTCTTTCTAAACCAAGGAATCAATAACCCCTTCATCTCCCGCCTTTTGCGTTGCGTGTGTTGTGTGCTCATCATCTCGCACTGGAGACTCTACGTCATCTTTCAACAGCTTGGAAAATAGTCTCGCGTACACTCGCTTAGCAGGGGTGCCCTTTGTGGGACCCGTTTCTTTCTCTCTTTGTAGCAAATGATACCCCCTCGATGCCCATTCTGTGTTCTTGCCGTTGTTGGGGTTCTTCATGTGAACAATGATCTGTCACAACGCACATGCTATGTACGCCATGTATGCTGTGTATGCTAAGGACGAACTCTCCTTTGCATCCGCCTTGTTTTGTCTCAAGGCTCCAGACAAATCTCCCTAAAGGTTGAAGAGAAGTGGGATTGGGCACCGAGGGGGCAGGGGGGGACGATTGTTACACAACAGGACAACGAGGCACAGAGTCTCAAACACACTTGCACCGGATGTGTTGCCCTATGCATGACCTGTTCCCCTTTCTCATTGTGCCGTGACGCGTTTCGCTCGGCCATGCATTGCGGCTACAGCACTGGCGGTGACAAGCGCACTTTTGTCGTAACACCACATGCAGGCAACAACTGTGGGACAGTCACTCCAGACATACCACCGATGGGCCACGATCTGTAACGTCGAAACCTTTGTATAAAAGGCATCCCCAAACTTAGCGGAAAACTCTCTGGCATGTAGGCAATCTTCTTCCTCTCTATCCTTGCAAGGAATCCCGCCCCGTCGATGCCCACCCCACCTGCACCCGCTCGTGCTTGCACCCGTCCCCGAAGAACTGCCCACGAGGCGCAGGGCCCCACTTTGTCTTTCCCTACCTCCGTCTGCGTCTCTTTCTTTTCTTCTATATTACAAAGCCCAAACTTTGATTTCCTAAGCCAAAGGAGCTAAAACGCCTCCTCCCCCCCCCGCCCCACCCCGAATGCCCACCGCACCTGCACCCTCTCGTGCTTGAATCCGTCGCCGAAAAATTCCGCCGCCTCCTTGCTCGACGCCTCCTGCAGGATCCGCACGTGCTGCCCCACCAAACCCCGTGACAGGTACGCCATCGCGATGTCCAGCCAGATCGACAGCGCCACCTCCTCCGCCTTTAGCAGGCCCAAGACTTCTTCGCAGTCGGCGGGCAGCTGGTGGACCGGGATGGACACCAGCTCGTTGGAGTTGAGGATGGGGATGCGCACGCTGTCCATGGCGACGTCGAGGGCCCGGGGGGCCGACGGGGGAGCGCCCGCGAACGGTGGGCGCCGGCTGGCGCCACCACGGCGGGAGGGCGAGTTGGGAGTTTGACGTTGCGGTCCCGTTTGTCGGCCCCGTTTTTTTTTCTTCTTGCTTTTTTTCTTTCTGTCTTGTTCCGCTTTTTCATTGGAAGAATGAATGGACATCCTTACATAATCCAATAAAGACCTAAAAGTGTGCGCGATGTTGCCGCCTCCAGCGCCCTATTCGCCTCATGTGACTGCACTGCGCAGTGCATGCACCAACCGGCAAACGGACACAGAAACCGGCCCATGGACTTCAGGATGTGGATCCGCATTTTGTCCATTGCGTCATCGAAAAGGGAAGGGATGACGTGGGTTTTGGGGGAGCGGGGGACTGGGCAAGTCTATTGCCTTGCGTGAGGGCGCCATGCACATGTCCGCTGCGCTGTCGCTGTGCGGTGCAGAGCGTGGATGCGCCACCAGAAGTGGGAGGAGCCAGGGGGCCCAGTCGCACAACCCGGGGAAAGGTCCAGAAGAGTGGTTATATTTATTTTTCAGCCGTTATTTCAAGATTTTCCTCATACGCTTTCTTTGTTGGGATGTACGTCTTGAAATCGTTTTCCTTGCAAATCTCGTTCGTTCGTTGGTGACTGCAGATTTTTTCCTTTCTTCTCTTTCTTTCATTTTTTGGGGGGATGGCGTGGGGGTGGATCTTTGTATTTCGGGTAGCCCCTGACCGTGCTGCAGCATGTTTTATTCCAAGCCACCCAGCCTTCATTGCGTGACATCCAACCAGGGATCCTTTGAAGAACAAAGAAAATTGGGGTTTGGTGTTTTGGTCGCACAGCCCCTGGGCCAAGCGATATGTTCCTGGCATGAAACAGCAGCGGGCGTTGCCAGTCTGGCGCTCTTTTGTCTCCTGGACGTCCCGTTGAAAGAAATTCACAACACTTTACAATCCACAACTGCTACTAGGAATGAATGTTGGTACCCATTGAGCAACATAGGCAGATCAATTGTTTCAAGCCATTGGCGGCACAGAGCCACCTACGCCCCCAAAGCCTCAATTGACCTCGGCCCCCCATGGTTATGCCCATTGCACTCTTTCCATTGCTCCTCATTCATTCTGGGATCCGTCATCCGTTTTGTATCCATCCAGCATTCATTCCGCCCGCTTCGCTACCCAGCACTCTGCGGCACCCTCAGATCGCTATCCAGCGCTACCTGTTACATTCTGCGACGGAACTCTGCAGATGCGCTCCCAAATGGTATGCTCACAGCCTCAAACACCTCAGGCGAGGGCATCGTCCAAATCTCCACTCGAATGCTTTCCCGCATGCAGAGCTTTTCAGTCATACGTTTTCAAAACCCCATAAGTCAGACGCAGGTGCCCTCGCAACCATCAACACAGCTCCCCCTGCGCTCGAATCATCAGACTGCGGTCCTCAGAATCTTTGGCATCAATCGTCACAGATGAGGGCGGGCCCTGGACCATCAACGAGGCTCGCCCGGCGTGTAGAACACCACGTTGGGCCCCTGGACCTCTTGGGCATCTTTCATCACAGTCTTCAAGTCCACGGTGTATGGCTTGCCGGACCCATCCCTCTTGCCGTTCTCCTCGCTCTGCGCGATGGCCCCACTCTGTTTGTCGCCCCCGCTCAGCCCCTGTGAAGTGTCCATGGGCCCTTCTGCATCGTCCATCTTGCCCTCCTCTTAAACAAAAATGTCGCTTGCTTGATGTTTGGGATTCGAGCCTACTGAGTACAATTCAAAGAGTCAGCTCGCACAGACCGACTTCACAGCGGATAATATGCTTACCTCATCATGGTAGACATGGGCTGCAGACATATTCACAGTACTCCAAGGCATACAGTTTGACTTGAGAGATCAAACCTGACAAATACAATTCAAGTAGTCATATCACACTGCTTAACTTCGCTGGAGATTATGGACATCACATTTGTTTTGTAGACTGGCAGCTGCGCACATTTTGACAGCACTTTGAGGCATACATTTTGACATGATATCAAATCTGACTAAACATCGCTGGGCAGTCCACAACGTCCTGCTCTGTACTTCACGTCTGTACATGGTGTTGTGGTGCATTTGGTTTCTACTTGGTCCGTGGTCTGTACTTTGCAGCACTGCAATCACCACGACCTTTGGTGCCGAGGCGTCACGCAACAGACAACTTTTTACACTGATCGACTACACCAACGTGCAGGGGCGCCCATTTGCCTTTCGCTATTGCCCAATTCCAATTCCCAAATTCCCAATCCCTAAAGATCCCACAAGACTGCAAAATTGCCTAATTCCCCAAAAGAACCCAGAAGTTCCCCAAAATTCTCATTCCCGAAAAGGTCTGAAGAGATCTCAAAATTTGCCAATTCACAAAAAGTATCCTTCCCAAGTCGCCATGCATTCCTGACATCGCCAGTTTGGCAAAAGGGCTCACCTCGCCATGGGGTTACAGTGTGCAATCAATGGCTGAACAAATGGGTACAGCAGCCACGCAAGACCCAGGAAAGAGACTGCACAGGAACTGTCGGTGGCTGGGCGCGCACACAGCTCACACTCTGTTGGCGCTGGAAAGCGGTGCAAGCGATTCCCTTGATCCTTTTCAACGCCTGTTGTTGATCCCCTTTTGTCGAAGAGTAACACTGGGCAGCCGGCCATAAATGCGGTCGCCCTGAACGGCTGAGTCGAAAATTGGGAGCGAAACTTGCAAAGCACCACCGAAAGCAACGCTACGCGGCTTGCCCGGCATGCGATGGCCTGTCAACGACCAAGTCATAATTGGGAGCGAAGCTGGATAGAACTGCCGCCATGCTGCTTGCCGGACGAGCGCTCGCCGGAAACGACTAAGTCGAAAATTGGGGTCGAAGCTTGGGCAGGTCCTCCGAGAACGACACCAGGCGGCTTTCCCTAAAGGCGATCGCCCGTAAACGACGAAGTCGTATATCGGGATCGAAGTTTGGAAAGGACCGCCCCAAAGCGACAACAAGCAGCCTGCCGCACGCGCGATCGCGATCAATTACCAAGTGAAAATTTGGGTTCAAAGTTCGGACAGAGCTGCCGAGAGCGGCGCGCAGGGGAACACTTAAGGCCACGACCGTGATCGACGCAGCTTCGCGGCTCTTTGGACTGACTTTTCTGGCGAGCTCTTCGTATCTCGAGATACGGATATCGAGGCCAGTACCGAGAGATGTGCTCGACTACATCGCTTTGGCGCACGGATGGCAAAACTCGACACGCTGCCCCCCCATTCCACCCTTCATCATTTCGCGTCGGAGGCTCTACACCATCTCCTCACAGCATGGAACAGAGCCTTGCATAAGCTTGCACAGGAGGGGTCGCCATTTGCATGACCCGTCTCTTCCCATCTCTATAACAAATTTTGACACCCACCCACCCACCTCCTTTGGCTACCCCTCTCGTCGACGGCACCCCCCACCCAGTGAAGCCATATCGAATCCCACCGCCATCAACCGCCGATCACAAACGGTAACCCTCGGCAGCGTTGGCAGCCAATCGCCTTTGCGCACGCATCGCAAACACGATCGCCAGTGGCACCTGCGGCGGCCTAACGGGCCCTTCGGGTGCCCCTTCCGTCCACTGCGCTCCCACCCAGTGCCGACACGTCGAATCCCACAGCCAACGACCACCAATCACAAGACATGTACCCATGGCAGCATTTTGAACACGACGCCTGGGACCGCGGATCGCAAAACTCGACGGCCGATCGCACCTGCACCTGCGACCCCTCTGCGCTCTCAGACAGAAGCCGACTGCAGCCGCGCACCTCGCTCGTCAAGCCACGCGGCGCTTTGGCGCCAAAGGCGCAAAAGAGGCGGCGCTTTATGTCCGCGCTTTGTTCCGTACGCCCGACCGTGGCGTTCCTTTTCGTACGCCGAGCGGATGGCAGTACTAATCCCGGTGTGCGGGCGGTGACGTACAACGGTGCGGGCAGCAGTGCTTTGTAGTGGCAGTGCGTTGGTCGGCTATGTTGTAGTGCATTCGCGCCCCTTGGGGCGGTTTTCGAGACGGCCGCACGGGCTGAGGCTGGGGACTCATGCTTGTTCCACGGCCGGCAACGTGCACGCCACTCTTGCGTTCAATAAACTGTACATTGACGCAGTGCTGTCGTGCATCGCCCCTCGGTACGGTCAGCCACTCGCTTTCCGGCGCTTGTTGGGTGCTTTGCCGGCGCCGTAGCCTGCGTTTGATAGCCCTGTCGCTGGACCGGCAACTGCGCTTTCGCCAAAGTGCTTCGCCTGGTGCGCACAAAGGCCCAAAGAGCGCGACACACGGCGGGTCCACCTCAGCCGCTTTTTCGCAAAGGCGCCACACTCCTGCGACGCCAGGGCTCACCTGTCAGGGCAGGTCAAAAATTGTCGTGAAAACAACGTGTCGTGAAAAAAAGTGTCGTGAAAAAGTGTCGTCCGCAACCGCACCTCCCGCGGTCGCCCCCCGCGCCCAAGGCAGGGGGCCCCGGTGTCGTGCGCCCCCTCGTACCTCTGCACGTCAGGCCCTCTATTGGGACAAACATTCAAAGGTGCAGCGCACTCACACGGTACTCGCCTGTGCAGTACTTGCCTGTACGTGGACGAAGCTCGGCCAGCCGTGCAGCGACGCAGTACACTGACGTCCCATCGGGTCGGTCTGCGCCCCCGGGCCCAACTGTGTCGTGCCTGTGAGCGTACAATATGAGAATGAGCGGAAAAGGGCGTGCAGGGGGTCACGGGGTAGCGCGCGGTCCGCTGCAGCATCACGTAATGGAGCGGCGCAGGGGTTGCTGAGTTCTGCGTTTCGGAGTTTTAGAGGGGTAGGAACGACGCGGAGGGCGTGTCATGCGCTGTTGAAAAGAGCCACACGCAACACCACGTCATCTTCATGAAATTTGACACACACCAGCGACCATCGTGGTCACTCATCTTTGAAAGGCAAGGAGGTGACATGACACCGAGCCGTTGGTTGCCGATGTTGGGAGCCTCACCGTGGCCCCTTCGGGGACGAGGCCCCTGGGATGTCACGTCGTGTGGACCTCTTGGGTCAGCGCCTCTATCACGTGCTTCATTTCGTCCACGTCCAGGTGAACGCCAGTCTGCCAAGCTAGCAGCGCGATCTGCAACGCAAACGCCCAAGGTTTGGAGGCTGGGGGTTGCGAAGATGCCCCGGAATTGGGACAGCACCAAAACAAAAGTTCAAGAACTTTCTAAATGATTATAAAAACATTTTAGGGAGAATATTAATCCGAAGAACTTTCTTACTTTGTGGCGTGTCTTGGTTTTTGATTGCGTCAAGTTAGGCACGGCCTAGGAGGTGCGATTTATCGGGTCAGTTTCACTGACCGTGGGGCTGCAGACCTTGATCGAACGCAAAAAAAAAGTTGCCGGAGACGGGTACAGAGATCGACAAAAGACTATTTAAATAAAGCAGCAAAGTATAAAAAATGACAAATATGATTAAAGTATCAGAAGTTGAAGCACAAAGGTAGCAGATCATTCCAATAGAGGGTTCATCGAACATGAATCTAACATGACGAGTTGGGTCCACGACCAGACTGTCGTCACACACAAGGCGAGGCAAGGACAAGAAGCATCCCCGAAGGAGGGAGAGGCAAAACCAAGCAATGCAAAGTACTAAGCCTTATCCCTGTACTCCCAAACAGAGTCAACAGCACGGTCTGCCAGTGCGCACCAGCAGCTTCTTCCTCAAGTCCCCATATTCGCTCGTGGCGCCGTCGACCGTGCCTGTGGAAGGAAAGGCCAAGAGGAAATCAGGCCGCCGATCAGCAAAGGAATTGCATGCCTAGCGGAAGGCTGCCCATTACCGGTATTGCTTAATACTGAGCTTGTGGCAAGCGCGACTGTGAGGAGGCAGGATTGACTGTGGGATGGCATTAACCTGAGTCAATCAAGTCTATTTTAACATCGCACTGCAAAAACCCTTTTTGGTACAGTCCCCGCTCGCCAACCAGCGAGGACGCTTCTTTCCTTTCTTATCATCAGCAAACGCTTCTCGGCAATAAGAATTGATGGATTCCTGGATTCCTGGACTTCGCCTGTGTTATACCTTAGATTTCAGTCAACTGATCATGGACACTGCTTTGCTCGTGCCCAATAGGATGCTGATGGCTACCTCCTTGCCTTGCTGTGCAAAAATGAATGACGGTGACGATGTGCGGAGGACGACCGTTTTGAACAATGCACGAACATCCATGACACACGCAGACATTCCTGCACTAGTCAATTCGGCTGATGCAATTGGCACAGCCGCCTTGGCTTCAGAGATCCAGTCCCTCCCTCTGCATTTCTAGCACTTCGAAGCAGTCACCTCTTTGGTACTTCGAAGCAGTCAGTGTGCTCTGCAGCCCAAACCAACCATCTCTGGTGTGTAAAGGCAGTGATCTCGGCAAATGGACACAGGGGCTGCACTCCCTAGCTTGGCCAACAAAACTGAGGGCACACAGTTCTTCATCAACTCCTACAAGAACAGCCCCACTGCAAGGCCAAAACCCCTGATTGCTGACATGACAGTGCGGTCGGCGCCACAAACCTGTGTGGACATGCTTTAAGGCATCCACGACCGTGGTTCTTGCCAGTAGCTCTGCATCATACGCCGCCTTTGCACCCAGGAACATTTCATCTGCAGCAAGGCAGTGAAAAGAGTGACCAGGACAGAATAAAGAGTGACCACAATGGAGGCCTCACTGGCAATGCTGAACGAGGCCCATGGCAAAGGTGGAAGGCACTGTCCGGTGGGTGTGCCACACACATGATTAACGTGGGAGACTGCGAGGCATTCGATGCTTATCCAATGCCATCCTTGTGTTGCTGTTTGGCACAAGAGTGTGGAACAGCCGCTGTACTTCTCGGCACTGTGTGTGAGGATACAAGCAACCAATTGAATAGTCCACCAAACAAACCACCGATCAATCGATCAATCCATGGATGCCAGGCTGCAGTCTGTGGTGATCAACGCTGCCAAAGAAAATCCTGCTGAGTTCTCACACAAAGCAAGCTGTAGTTAAGGGATCCGATCCAACACAGTGCCAGATCCCTTGACACAAATGCAACCGCAGGTTTCTGGAACCCAACTTTCCAGCACCTCGACAAACTAGCAGCTCAACAATGACACAGAAAGTCTGGATGGCAGTCATTGTGCACGGGACACATCCTGGAGGATGGAACGCCAGTTGCATAGCACTCACCTATGATAGAAAACGTCAATGTTGCAAAGACAGGCTGGCGTTGAACGTGTGCAGCAATGTGGCTATATTTCCCTGTGAGTTCATGAACATTATTGCACCCCTGGCTGCAGGGCACACACCTTGTCACCGAACCACACAAGAAGGATGCCATCCGCACACTCTGTTTCATGTCCCCACAACCGACAGACAGCATCTATGAACATCGCGTTGCATGGAGGGACAAGAAGCTGCACCTATCACAAGCATTTTTCTTGGCAGTAAACTCGTAATACTTTGTGATGCTACATAGTGAAATATTAGGTCCTGCCCATGTTCCAATGGCCTTCTTTGTGGTGGACCTTCTCAGGTGACTAGAGCAGAGCTTGTTGTCCCTGGCTCTTCATTTACCTTCTATTTTATTATTTACCTTCTAATATCATTAGATTGTGAGTGTCTGCATACATCACCACAGCCAAAGCACCAACGGCAACAACACAGAAAATCAGTACAACCCTGTCCAAAGAATGGAGAACATTTAAGCACATCGGCAACAGCTCATTGGTGCAAAAGGGAGTTGACAGGTCTGACCCATGCCACATTGAGGGCACATGATTGGGGAGAGTTTTTTGTTAACATCTAGGGCTGCCAGTTGCCCACGCATGGGGGGCGCGCGGTACTGCAAAGATGAATCGGCACATCACAGCAATAGTTGCGGCACGCTACCGTACCTAATTTCCACTACAATGTCTTTCAACTGCCCCAAGATCGCCTCGATCTTGGCTATTGCTGACGCTTGCTGCCGTTCAAGCTTGCCTGTGCAAGCGGCCTTGAGACCAGGCATGTCAAACAGCTCCTCTACCTGCAGAGCATCAAGATGCCTGCAAGCACAAAGAGGCAATGCTGGTGGGCTCCCAGGATTGTTGGGCTTTGGGACCTTCATATTGAGCAATGCATGACAAAAACTGGCAGATGGGTCACACTGGAACAATCTTTCCTTGCAAGAGAAGGACCCCTTTCTATTTTTCCAACTTTTCTCATTTTTCTCTTTCTTACCACTTGTCCCACTTGCTCCATATTTTTCAATATTCAAATTTTCACATTTTCCACTCTTTCCACTTTTCCATTTGTCGTTTTCTTCCGCAGAGTGGAGGACAATGTCAGGGGAACCATGCATCCTGGCACAGGAGCAAGATTAACAGCAGCACCAATAGGGGCTCGTTGGCACAGAAACATGCACATGTTCCATAGGATGAGCAACCCCCTGGGGCCAAAACCATCTCTCAGACAATATTCCATGCCATAAAACACAGTGGCATGCACATGGACATGCATGCATTGAGTCAGTCAACAAAGAAAAGGTGGCAGACCTCACAGCATGCCCGGCATCGCCCAATGGTTGAAAGCGCAGTGAGTTTTGTGGCCTCACAAGGGTCATCGACGAGGGCAAGTGCATGAAAGCGGTGCAACTGCAGCCTCTGCAAGGCCCCACAATCGGAACACGCACACAGTGGCTCACCTGGTGGTTAACAATGCATTGGACAGCTCCCTGGCAGCATCGAGGCCCTCAGCACATGCCGCCTGGAGCACAGCAAAGCACTGCACACTATAGGAAGCAACTTCACAGTCGGGACAAGAGGCAGCTTGGTAGTTTTGGGGTGGCAATTTTCGTGTAGACAGAAGGAATCTGATGTCCTGGTAATGTCACATTTCAGCTGGGATTCATGATGCAGCTACCATGATATGCTATGCTGTGCATAAGGATGAATTGCTTCATGACTGCAGGGCTGGCGATCCTTTGACACAAGAACATTCCAAATACACGCCTGGCACTTGTCTGGCAGCACAAGGCCCTACATTTCTTCTGCTGAGACTGGGATGGCCCTTTGTATTAACATGGGCTGCAATGTTCTGGAAGAAAGGCGGAACACATCTCGAAGTTGTCCTTCTCCTCGATTCTGGACTCAGCACTGAGTGGCATTGACAGCCCTAGGCAGAGACTGTGAGCAATGCCAAAAGCATACTATTGTTGTTTAGCGCTGAGGGCAATATTAACAAGCATATCATCAGTATGCCATGGCAAACGTTATCACCCTGTAAAATTATGTCGATTGCAGAGAAGGTGGAAAATCGCACGGATGCCTGCAACCCACCTCCCATTTGCGTGTGGCTCCCCGGAGGCAGTTTGTGGCCAGTCGAATTTGCCGCTGAAAAAGGTGCAGAAATCAGGTCGGTAAGAGGAAATCCACAACAACAACATCGTGGAAACATGAGTAGTCCCTACTTTTGCACCTGTTAGGAGCTGCTCAGCTCAGCAAGTGCCTTGGCAAGCACAGGCAGCCAACAACAAGACAGAGTGCAGCAGCTAGGCATTCGCCGACCGCTCCAGCACTGCCAAGGCAACTGCCCCTGTCTTGTGTGCCCGTTCATGTTGTCCCTTCAGGATGCTGGCATTGTCTGCTTGGAAACAGAAACGCCGACAAAAAATAAATATAAATATAAATATAAACGATAAAGCACAATAACTGTGATAAATATAATATAGAACATATAATAAATAATTAGATATAATGCCCCTCAATACATAATACAAACAACATATAATAAATAAGAACGATAAGCATTGAGCTGAAAAGAAGTCAATCAAGAGTGGGGAAAGGGAAGTAAGAAAGAAATGGACATGCCTGTGCCTCTTTTCTCCATGAACGAAGCTCCGCCGGGGTGGGACCGCTGCTCATCCTGTAAGAGACAACACGATTTCAGCAGCATCAGGAGTTTTAGCTTTAAGAATTTGGAGGATTTTGAGGTTTGGTGCAGAGCACAATTGGCCAACTGATCAGAGTTGCTCCAGGTGCCTTGCATCATGTATGGTCATTTTCACACGTCGGCAGCCTGACAGACATGACTGCACCTCTGCGCACTGCTGCTGCGCACTGCTGCTGCGCACTGCTGCTGCGCACTGCTGCTGCGCACTGCTGCTGCGCACTGCTGCTGCGCACTGCTGCTGCGCACTGCTGCTGCGCACTGCTGCTGCGCACTGCTGCTGCGCACTGCTGCTTCCCTCCCCCCCACCCCCACCCCCCTCTCCCCCCTTCCTCCCCAGCACCCAAGAAAAAGAAAAAAGCAAAATCATGCCCAACATGTGCTTGTTTGGTTTGGGTACTTCTGCTTCCACTCTGTGATTGGCACATTGTCTTTCACAGCATTGAACAGAATCCTGCAAATGCTTCTGGACAGCATTGCACAAAACGAATTCTGTCTGCTGCCAGGAACAGTTTATGCCAACCCTGCTGAGCCGCCTGCCCATATCGACTGGGCTCTTTGCCAATTGCTCTCTAATATCCTGTTGCCTCAGATTGTCAGAAAGTGAAAAGGCACTACCCTTGCATGTGAAAATTAAGAACAGCCTTAGTTCCATCCTTCAGCTCTGTTCAACAAAAACTCTTACTTCCCTCAACTCTGAAAAACCTGAAAGCCATGGAAGCAAAAGAAAGGAGGCCCGGATAACGCCACAGGGACAATAATTGGGGCCAACTGATCTGGTCATGTACCAGTATATGCATAACGTTTATGCACGAAACACTAGGCATAAGAAAACTGCATGTTGCTAAAATACCAAGCATTCCACAATGGCCTTTTGGACATGAATCTTCTGATAAGTCATTCTGTCGATTGCTGGCAACCCAACTGGCATCACATGCGTGGACACCAGCACGCCCTTACAACAGCTTGTATACAAAATTATCTTGCCACAAACATCGGCCAGCATCGGCTGACAGGTGCAAAGGCAGCATTATTCATGTCTTTTACCAAGAGTACAGCAGTCGCTGTCTTGCTGTCTGAGCCAGTTGTAGTCTGCAAGGCACAATGGCTTCACATGCACATTCTGGTAGTTGCAATCCACATTCCGTGTGAATCTTGGGGTTTGACAGTTTGATGGAATCTACGATTGGTTGGCTACCTACGATGCCATGCATGCCTGAATGCCACCAATCAGGTGTTGTTCCTAATTCCTCATTTATTGGGGTGGACAGCGCAGATACATGCAGGCATGGAATTGGGCACTCAGTGGGGGACGGACCAGCAACTAGTCCCACTAGCAGCAAACCCGTCGCCAAATGGGGTGGCAACGGAGGAATTTTGCGGACCTAGCTGCAGATCTACAAACATCGGGCGTGGACACAAAATCCTTTCTGGTGCTGGCCCACAGTGCAGGCTGATCTGCAACTATCCTGGCGGCCCCCGGCCATGACGCATTCCCGGTTGCCCAGAGCTCTGCCTGAATTCAGCATGACCATTCACGGCGCAAAACTGTTGACCTCGAGTGATGGGAGTGGCTATGATCCATGGGCGCACAAACGCCCACCACAAAGATTCATTGTCAAAAGAAATGGAAACTCTTCGTTTCTGTAAACACATGCAATCTTCTCCGCTGTTTCATGTACCACTGCACACAAATGACTCCCGCCAAGTTTCTTCCCAACCCCCCCTCCCCTCAAGGGCAGATGCCATCCACTGCAACAGGAAAAAGAGCACTGTGCCCAAATCGGCCCCAGGCGCCGCCCCACCCAATTCTTGCTCTTTGTGGCGCTCGTGTTGTGCGCTCTTCTTCTGACCCGCAGACTCTACATCATCTTCGGAAAGTGCGGAAACGAGTCTCATGCACGCCTGCTTAAGAGGTTTACCCTTTGTGTGAGCAGTTCCTGATCCTCTGCTGTTAATGTGTATTTGCCCCCCACCCTGTCCCCCAAAGCCAGCTTGCCCTTTCAGGCAAATGGATGGCTACACTCTGATCCATGCTGCAAAAGATGATGCCCGCGTCTCCTGAGAGATGGAGCTCGCTATCAAGAAAGAGGAGATTGCCACACGATGCAAATTCGGATGTGCGGGGAATGGCAAGCACAGAATCTGAGGCTCTTTTCTACGCTTCGAATACGATTCGGACACTCCGATGTCCCTGGGCAGCGCTGAAAGATTATACCACGCACGCCGAAGAGCCTCGAGGCAATTCCTGCTCGCTTGGGGACGGAGGAGGGGGGTGGGGGGTGGGGGGGGTGGACATCTAGCGATCTGCAACCCTTGCACAAGTGAAAACGAAGGAACGAACTCCCTTCACCTGAGAGACTAAGGCCCCAGTCAAGCTCGCCCGCAATCGCCGCAGTGCCCTTTTCACGCCGGCCACCCGCCGCGGTCCGAGCGGTTTGGGCTGCACCTGTGGGTTTTGTGCAAGATATGGGGCGTAAAGTACTGGGAAGATGCGGCGCAGCGAATGAGCGTTAACTACTGTGCCGCAGGCACGTTTGGCATCGAGGTGCTTGATTGGTCGACTTCACGCATATAAAAAGGTGGTGCTGACGAAGGCAGGCAGGATCGAGGGGTGGCGATCCCTGAACGGGAATTGTACGCTAGAGTCCACGGCAACGCTTCACAGCTGAGGCAAAAGGACAACAGGCGTTCTGTTCCTTATATTCAATCCGTTTATCAATGTCCTTAATGCAGTTCCTAAAGCTTCATCATCTTTTCAAGCATTCAGTTATCAATAACACTCAATCAGTTCCAGCTGCAACAGTGCATCTTGACCTTGGCGTCCACTATCCATTTTACTTTGACCATTGTGCGTGTAGGAATCGTTGAATTTGTGATACTCCTTGAATTGGGTACTTGCTGAATGAACAGAGAACAACATTGTCCATTTGATGCACTTTCATTCATGCGTCCTTATGGAAGTGCGCGAGCTACAAGCTGACGTGGAGAGTCTTGACGTTTGCTGACGTTCGGCTGTTGACAGCACGTGCATCACCTTCCATGGGCAGTCATCATTTTACAAACACTTCCTGCGCCAATCATGCGTTTACAAGTTTGTTCCATGCCTCCGCAAAGTTTGGTGCCAGAGCTTCCTCAAGCACGATGGAAGGCTCATGGGTTCACATCGTCCCCTAGCCAACACAGAAGGCTCATGGGTTCACATCTTCCATTAGCCAAACAACGTTTGGGCCATCTGCCAGTTTGAACAATTGTCTCTGGTTCGTCTTCAGCTGCAGGTAGTCGACCTGCACACATCGAGCATCACAATTGTGTGACAGTACTGTCGTAACGCACCTCACACCGTTACGTCAGACATTGTATTGTCACATCACGGGGCGCACATGCACACAGTTGGCCCCTTTTCATTTGCGCCAAAGGCTGAAAATCAATGTTCGGACAGATGCGCCCCTAAAACACCATATAATCTGTCTGAATGGACATGTACATATTGTACATATCACAAATAATCTAAATGTGCTATCAATAACATAAATAGCGCATGTCATAAATGAGTCCAAAAAGCGAGGCATGGCTTTACTCTAGCATCGGTCTGTGCACAGTGCACAATGATGCACATTCAGATGTGCTTTCCATTTGTGCCTACCGATATAGAAGCGATCAATCGATACGCCGATACAGAATCTGTACAGCGATACAGAAACGATACACTGATACAGAAGCGACACATCGACACAGAATCGATACGTCGATATGGAACGATACATCGATACAGAATTGCAACACCGAGCCTGCTGCCAGCCTTCGATGCATACTTACATTTTTCACGTCCATCACCCCCAGGGCGAAAGTGCCAGACGTCAGCCAAAATCTGAGACAAAAATCCTCTCAGAATCTGGCAAATAAAATCATGCAATCCCGGAAACGTGATCTCAGAAAAATGATTTCCAAAATCGCGTGCACCTGATGTTCGATAGATCTGCTGTGATCGAATCAGCCAGCGAAACATTTAGCAACTGCTGACCAGCCCCGCGAACACTCTCAAACAAGTGTGTGGATCGGAAACCACGCTGTTCTCGCCTTGCATGGGCAAGAACACTTTCAGCACAGCTTGAGCCTCTGATCGCTTTCCACTCAACATCGGTTCCAACCGCCATTTATCGTCAGGACAACTTCACTTTGAGCTCCGACCCTTGCTCAACCTCTGATCCCTTTCAGCTTCAGGCCAGCTGCCGACTTCGTTCAGCTCCTAACCATTTCCAGACCCGAATCAGCTACCACTTCCGACCCTTGCTCAACCTCTGATCCCTTTCAGCTTCAGGCCAGCTGCCGACTTCGTTCAGCTCCTAACCATTTCCAGACCCGAATCAGCTACCACTTCCACCCGCTTTCAACGTCACATCCACTTCAGCTTCGGACCGGTGCGCTGCCGTGCACAGCGGGCAAAGCAAGGTTACATTCTCACGGCGGGTCACCCACAAATATTAAGTGATTCTGTACACTCTGTCCACACATTCACGTATGTACAGAACGTCCCGTCGACCCCCGCATTTATACATAATACCGCTTCATATATCGCAACATGCAAAACACCTGAGCACATCATCACGCCGGCTGGCGCATGCGCACCTCGGTTGCTTGCGTGGCGCCGCCACTCGTTGCGCACTCGCCGTCATGGCGGGGCTGCCGGGGGCAGGGCCAGGAGAACTGCTGCCTGCCTGAGTCGCTCATGTCCTGCCAAGCGCGCTGGCGGGCCTGCGGTCAGCAAGGGCAAAACCTCGCTGATTGCCTTTTGTCCTTTCTCCACAAAAACCGAGCTGTGTCAATATGTTTTAGCGTGCTTTGTTATGGACTACTATGAGTTGTCATATGTTGTTATGCATTGGTATGTGCTATTTTGTGCCATGACGCGTTATTGTGTGAAAATGTGTGATATTATGTGTGATGTATATTAACCGTGTTTTTGAACATCCGGGGTAACAGCACTGGATTACTAGTGCCAGAGCACTGGTGTTTGTCTGGAATGCTGGCACAAAACGACAGCACTGGCACTGGGCCACAGTTGTAGCAAACCAACTACACATGTGCATTTGCACTGTACTTGTGCATTGTCCAGTTCCTACATATTTATGCTTTCCGGAGCATGACAAACTGCAGCATTTGTACAGTCAGGTGGCCACCAAATCGATTGCGGGAATGATGGCAAGGTGACACACTGCAGACCAATCGCCAGCCATGCCAAACAATGGATCCACCCTGGGACAAGAATGTCGTTATGTGGTGTGATGATATGCAAACATGTTTTGTATGGTATGATGATATGATGTGACGTTGTGTACGAAAGTGTGGATACACAGGACATTATGTACAGGTGTGAATGTGTGGACAGTGTGTACAAAATCACTGCATATCTGTGAATGACCTGCTATGAGATTGTAACCTTGCTTTGCCCGCTGCGCACAGCTTCACAGTGGCATTGTGAACAGGGCGCTGTTGCCATACCCGCTCTAACGCACACACTGTGTCGATTTTGGTACACTTAGCAATCGTCATCATAGACACATCTGGTATCACATTGCACAGCGTCACGCAAGATGAAAGAGCCCTACCCAGCAAAGCCCTGTCGGCTGAGACCTACATGAGGGGGGTGGGGAATTGCGCTGTAAATGCACAGGTTGATCCAAACCCTAAACCCCCCACAACTAGACCCGTAGGCAGATCATGGCACCATGGCATCCCTTGATAACATCAGTAATATTGATCAAAGGTTTTGCTTGTATTGCTGCAGATGTTTCTGCTTGCACACACCACTCAGAAAGCGCACTGAGGTTGGTCAGGCGTCCACTACCCAACATCTCCGCATTGCAGGCATTGGGACCAAAATTGGATGCAATCTTCAGCAACCCACATGCAATTTTCGCTCATCTTCGCAGTCTGGACCTACGACTTCTAGAGCTCCACTCAATCGATATTGCTCCCTGGAAATGGGGAAGTACCAGCACACCTCACCGTGTGGGCATTGCTTGATCTCATCAACCTGTTACAATAGCTGTTGAATGGCGAAGTCAAGTATTAGCAAGGCCTCCAGTGCTCAGGGACTGGGGGAAGACTGTCCCTTACGGCAAAGGTAACACGGAATATCTCTGTATCTATTTAACACATGTATCATATATCATCTATGCCAAAGCAGTAAGTAACAAAAGCATATGAAGTCAAAGCACAAAGAGTAAATAGTAGACCACAGAAAGCAGAGATCAGAACAATAGTGAGATAGAATAATGTCAAGTGGAACAAAAAATTTGGACAGCAATTGACGAGTTGGAACAAACACAGCAGGGATCCACAATCGGGACCATTTCGCTGCATGCATATCTCATTAATCGCTGCCTTAGAAGGCCAAATTCTACTTGCAGCACAATGGCAAGCAGCTAGCCATAGCAAAGAAATTCGCAAATTCAAGAATTAGAATAACAATTGTGCTTAGTTAGTCGTCTATCTGCTGAATACTTCAGAAACTAATTTGTCATTTTATGGACTTATTCATTTGCAGATGCCTCCCAGGTTGGGGCCATACACAGCTCGCCTTTTGACTTCTCGTGTCTGTAACGAACATCAGCTTCGTGCTGGTCTTTTCATAGAAACCTCTGGAGCCATGGAAAGCACACGCATGTCAAAACCGCTCAAGATCCAAATCCAAATCGACCTTCGCCGAGCACACTCTCTGGTGACGTAGTTTCACTGCAGAGACATGCAGATGATGTTTCAGTAGAGGTGCACCATTTCCATTGGTTCAATCTTTGCATCGCTGTGTGATGGACACATTAAAATGATTCCATTTGATTGTTATTGTCCATTCGCGATGTCTTTTCCTTCTGAGATTTTTGATCAGGCAAGGTGGCCATCTTGCACAACCTGCTGTCTGGCTTCTCAAGCACTAACCACAAGGTCCATCCCCAGCGCATAGATTATTGATCATGGCACGTTTGACAATCATTGTCTGTACCTTTTTTCTGTGTCTGTCATCGCCTGTGCGGCGGGCACACGGGCTTTATTTGCCATTGCTATTTAACAATTGAAAGTCCATGGAAGTCAGGGCGTCCATTCCTATTGGTTGGAAATAATTTTGCTCCTGGCTGGGGACCCACATTGAATTGTATCGACTTGTGACAACCTAGCAAACCCACAAGCAGTTCCTCTCAATGGGGCCCACCAATCGCATGGCCTGTTTTCTTTCTCCTGAAACAGAAATCACAGTGATGCCCTTCACAGCCTCCTCTTCAAAGGGGCTTGAATGAGCTGAGCTGCAGGGTTTCACCGATCAACCGTCATCTCTCAACAGTGATCTCAGAACAAGGCTGCAAAAAAAAATGCCGCCATTCGCCTTGGCTGCACAAAGACTCCCTCCGCTTTGCCTTGCGACGGCAAATGCACGAATTCACCTCACGACACGACACAACTCGATGAAGTCACGACACGACGAACTCACGACACGACACCACGAATCTCGACACGACACGACGACTTCACGACATCATTTTATGAGCGATGGGCAAACCCGCCTGACCTGAACACCACTGTCCTGTTGGCCGGCCTGCCGTCCGGCCGGGCGGTGGCTAGCTGCATGTACCGCGAGTAAGCCACGGCGGCGTTGCGCTCCAGGGATCGAATGAGGGCTTCCTTCCAGGAGGCGGCGGCCATGGCGAAGGGGGAGCAGGTGGGTGTTGGCCTGCGGCGAGGGCGCCGTTGTGCACAGGCACCCGTCATGTTACCCGCTCAGGATTATTAGGCCCGCTCGACTCAGGATGGGTGGGGAATGTGTTGGGCGTACATTTAATTCGGTGCAGCTGAGAAGACATCATTAGTCATTCTTACATAACAAGGCAATGACGTAGCCGTCAGCTTTCTATTTTGCCCGAGCAAAGCAGCGTCCACGATCAGTCCATTGAAATCTAACGCTTAACACAAACAGAGTCTGAGAATCTGTCAACTTTCAATACCAAGAAGCGGTTGTTGATGAGGCACCGTTGTTATAAGAGCTGATCGATCGAGTATTGTTAATGGCTGGGCGCATTAGGAGGTGATGATACATTGGGAACTGAATCAAGGACACTGATGAACGGACTGGATACACTGGACAGAATTCTTGTCGTCCTTTTGCTCCGTTGTAAAGTATTGTTGTGTACTCGGGCCTACAATCCCCAGTCAGGGGTCGCCATCCCTCGACCCTGCATGCCTTCGCCAGTACCATTTCATTCCCGAGAGGGAGGAGACTACCATCTACCTTGCCCCTGGCTAGGTGGCTGGGTGGAGCGGTTCTTAGCTATTTTCCAGCTTTCAGGTTTTCGGCATTGTTGCTATTTTTCGGCTTCTTTCAGCTTTTCAGCTGTTGTCCTTTCAGGATTCATGATGCTGCTATTGCACTGGTTTCTTGGCCGTTCCTGCCCCAGTCTCATTGCTTGTTTTCCGGTGTTTTCAACCGTTCCCGTTCATATGTGCCCTAAACCAAATCCAAGCAATTGGATGAGACTGGGGATGGCCAAAAGCCAAGAGAATGACGTGATTGACAGCCTGCCCGGTACTTCTAATTGACGTCTTCTGCACATTTTCCAGTTCCTTCAGTTCTCAGTGTGTCCCCTGAACCACAGAACCAACCAAGGCCGCCAAACCAAAAGAAGCTCCAAATTCGACGGGGAATCTACAGAGAGCCCAGAGCAGTTGACGGAGAATGATAAACTTTCTCCTTGTCCAACGTCTTTTATCCTTGGTGTGCCCAGAGCCACAGGACAAAACCACCACTACAACGCACCACGCTACACCACCAAACGCCACAAACACCGCGAAAAAAAACACTCGACAAAAAACCCCAAAAAAATAATTATCATATGACCACCCAACCACCAAGATGGTGACCAATGAAGATTCGACTGGGAATGACCGGAAAGCCAACTCGAGCGACAAAATTGCTCCTCGTCGTCACCCTGTGGGTTGCGCTGGCTCCAACCTTGGCTCAAGGCTCGGCTTCTGTCCCATCGACAGCCAGCCCAGCCGGGGCCAACTCTCGACTCCAACAGCCCTCGGCACCGCCCTCCCGTCCGCGAAAGCCCCACGAGCGGCATCCAGCCCCGCAAAGGCGCAGAGCCCAGCTTTGCATTGCCGTTGCTGTTGCTCTCGGCATCTTCGCCATGGACGAAAATTTCGAAGACGAGGACATCGATGCCGGTCCCAGCGACCGGAGGGCGATCCAATCCGTCCTAGACGACGATGAAGATGAGGAAGATGAGGACCCTCGCCCCCGTGGCGCTCCTGGTGGGGCGGCGATCGACGATGAGGATGAAGACTCTCCTCCTCTTGCCACCGAAGCTACAATTGATGACGCTGGTGGAGATTCTCAACCGCGTGGCGCTCAGGCTGCGATTGATAATTATGATGAAGATTCTCCGCTGCGTGGCGCTCAGGGTGAGGCGGGAATTCATAATGATCGCCAAGCTGGGAATGGCAGCGCCGGGGGTGGAGGGAGCGAGGACGGATTTGATGATTTGTTTGAGGATGGGGAGGAAATGGAGGGGCAAGATGGTGGGGTGGGGGAGGCTGGGGAGTATGGGGAGACCAGTGCAGAAGAGGATGAAGGCGAGGAGCCTGGAGAAGGGGAGGGGGTGGCTGGGGGGTCCGACGAGGCCGAGGAGGTGGATGAGGAGTTTGAGAAGATGTTCAAGCCCAAGGGGAGGCGCAGCCGTGGGAGGATGGGGGATACTGAAATCAAGGCGGTTGTGACGCGGCTGCTGGACAAGATGGACGCCGCTGCGGTGGATGATTACGAGCTGCTGAATGAGGGTGAGCCGGCGCTGAACAAGCTCAAGTTGCTGGAGGAGGTGGAGGCTGCAGTGCTGCAGAGGGACCTGCAGTCGGCGTTGTTGGATGGGGGGGTGCTGGGGTCGCTCAAGGCGTGGCTGGAGCCGTTCAACGGCACGCTGCCCAACGAGAGGATCCGGTCGTCCGTGCTGGGCATGCTGCACAAGCTGCCCATCGACACAGCGGACCACTTTAGGAGAGAGCAGCTGAAGAGGTCCAGGATCGGGAGCCGGGTGATGTTTTACTCAAAGGTGTGCAGTTCGCTGTTGTTGTTGTTCTCTTGTTTCAAAAAGGCCTGCACCATGTTTAGGAGTCCAGGTGCCGCAAGCATCCTAACAGAGAAATATGTGCAGAATGTTGCCACCGTAATTATATTTTTTTGTTCTATGGGGATGGGTTTCCCGAAACAATACAATACAGATTGCAAGCAGGGTTATACACAGAATAACGAAAGAGTAGACACAGAATGGACGATGACATGTACCTCGTGGCCACATCCACTATTGAAGCGTCACCACCCACGTTTTCAATCTGATTCTCACCTTGATTGGTGCGACCAGGCCAGTGCCTGCGCAAGCAGGCAAGGGCGCAAGCTGGCAAGGGCGCAAGCTGTGTGGCATCGTGTTGTTATCCTATGGAGATTGGCTTGCTTGTGCAACCAAACAGCTGAATGAACGTGCCTGCAGACAGTCTAAGTAAAATGTAGCAATAGCTTAGTTGTGCAAGCACAACTTGCAGCACTTACACGCTGCACAACTGTGCATATCCCTGACAAGCCACCTTCCCTTTGTATCATAGGAAACCAGGTAACCTCCAGCAGTCATGGAAACAACTGCAACAATTGTGAAGATTTCTATGCCTGTGGTAGACCAATTTTGCCTGTCTGACACAAATGGCAGTGACGCAAGGATGTCTCACCTGCACGTGCACCCTCTTGTCGTCAGCCCAATGTTAAGTAGATCGTCCCCGTCGTTGCAAAGGGGCTCGTCTGCAGAACATCGCAATCTCTGGCCCTTTTTGTCTTTTCGGTCTTTGGCTTTTTGGGTCTTTTTGGTCTTTTCCTGTTCTGTGTGGTCTGCTGTGGTCCTTTTTTGGTAGTTTTTTGGCCTCTTTTGTTCTTTTGTGGTCTTTTGGGTCTTTTTCGTCTCTGGTCGTCCCTTGACCCCAAACAGCAACAACCCGCGCGCAGGTGAAGGAGGAATCCGTGCAGAACAGGCGCATCGCCCGTGAGCTCGTCCAGGCCTGGAGCCGGCCCATCTCGCAGGAGACGCGCAATGAGGAGGAGGAGGAGCGGCAGCGCGCAGAGCAGCTCCAGAACCGGAAGCGGCAGCTGGAGGCTGAGAGGGAGGAGGAGCTGAGGGCCAAGATCAGGAGGGCGAGCCAGCCCGGCAGGCAGTTCATGGCCAGGATCCCCGAGCGCAACCGGATGGATTACGTTATCCAGCCGCAGAGCAAGATATCCACGGAGGCCACAAAGTCCCAGCCGAAGAAGGAATCCGCAGTGGTCCGCCACCTGCAGCGCATCAAGCGGAAGAAGATCGCGCGGTCGCTGCAGGCCATGAAGCCGAGCATCGAGGGGAAGGGCCTGCTGTAGGCGCCGGGAGGCGTTCAGACTGACTTCAGCCCCTTGGCTGTATTTGTGGGATAGAGACGAAACACTGCCCTTGCGCCTGTAAGGCGATGGCGGGCATGAAGCAAGATATCCATGTGCATATTTTGTTCGAATCTGTTTGTAGGCTTTCCTCTTAACACAACCGTAAACCTACAAACTCACAAAACGTTCGGCCCTCTGGCTGTGTTGGCTGAATGGAGACGAAGCGCTGCCCTTGCATTCGAAAGCGATGGCAGGCGCAAATCCATGCGCATCTTTTGTTCGTTTAGTTTGTGGGCTTCCCTTTAACAGCACCCTTACAACTGCACAACTCACGAAGAGAGAGCCAGCCGCTTCTAGGCTTGGCATATTATCAGAGAGGACTGTGGACAGCGGTGGTGTTGTGCATGCAAGTGTACGGCTGGGTGTTCATGGCCATCGCTCCGGTTTGGTTCCTGCATGCAAGTGCTGCAGGTCACCAGCTCTGTAACACAAGCCGTGAATGTGAGGGGATGCACGATGTAGTAGACCATTGGTGGAGCGCAGGCCGGGCCAACTTCAATGGGAGTACCCTTTTGACCCGTTTTGCGCTTTTGGTTGGAAGGCATCCCTTGCAGTTCATCCATTCGCAATTGCTATTCACCCATCGCTGTCGTCATCACTTCGTTGCCCATGAAGGTCAGGCAACTGAAGCAGCCCCTTCGAAGGCGGCTTGTCAACAGCACATGACAACTTCAGGCCCTGGCACCTTGCAGGCGATGACGCTGTCAGCAGCGCCCAGCAGGTGCTTGTTCGTTCCCTACCTGTTCTGGACTCCAAGCACCGAAGTACCCGAAGCACTACGTTGTCCTACCTGTTTGGGTCTGCACTGCCCGACTTGGTTTCGTGACGATGCTCGAAAAGAGAAGCAGGTAGCGTGGTGGCTCCTCGTCAGCTGCAATGCTCGAGTAGGAAGTGTTGCCACATGATGAGGTTGGGCCAAGTTTGGCGCTTTGATGAACCCCAGCTTGAGAGGTACCTTGCACGACATGGAGACTGCTCTTTTCCGCAATGCAGGCGATGCGCAAGACCACCCCAAGGGGTGGATGGCCAACTGTGGCCAGAGCTGCACGTAAGCCTTCTGATTGCCACAATGTGGCCGCCCCATCAAGGCGGGAGTGTGGCTCCTGCGCACGTGTAGCAGCTAACCCCTGGAGAGCACGCACCAGCAAGCTCCCTTGCCAGTTCACTGACGCCAGTGCCGCAGTCGGCACACGACACGCGACGACAGTTCCTGAATTCAGTATCCATAATTTAAACAATGACATTGTGTCCCGTCCACTGTCCGCGTTCCGCAGCGCCCCCACGCCTTCCACAAATGCCCTGCCCCAATCTCCTCCATTCCGCTCCACCTACTACCTAACAGGCTCCCACCATCCCCCTCCAACTGCAGGGCCCATCCTCCAATCCCCCTGCCCAGCCCCCCCAGTACTCGCAGTCGAGCACCGCAAGAGCGATCCCCATCTGTTGGTACATTGTTACATCTCCCAGTGCCTGCGCCAGCACCCACGTACATAAGCCAAGTACACAAGCCACCGTACACAAGCCACGTACATGAGCCCCACACCCGCCTCAGGGCGCCCGCCTGGGGTCCTTGGGGCCCGCGCCATCAGCACCCACACCGCCATGGGGGCTGCCGGAGCGCTGGCCCCGGGCCATGTCCCCCGCAGGAGCGTGCACACGCATGCCAACACTCCTGGGACTCGTCAACCCCGAGGCGGGCAGGCCATCCGCCGAGATGGGCACAAACACGAGCGGCCTCTGGTGGGGAGAAGGGCTGTCGGCCAGCACCCGGGGGGCAGCATCCACCATCTGCACCTCCTCGCCGCGGCTGCCCATGTCCATCAACTGCTGCAGCCCTGTGACTTGCGCCCTCCTATCGACGGGCTGCTGCAGCGCCACGAGCACCGCACCCTGTGAGGTGGCATGGAGATCGCCCGGAGGCCAGCTGTGAGCCGGGCTGATCCACCGTGGGCGTCAGGAGGAGCGGGTGCTGTCCCCTTGTCTGGGGCTGCTGCAAAGGTTGGGAGACTGCCTGCTGCCGCGGGGGGGGGCCAGCTGGAGCGGCAGTGCGAGCTTCCGGCACCGCATCTGATGTGCCTGCGGCCTGGGCCTGGGCGACGTGGAGCAGCAAATCCTGCAGGGACACCAGCGTCCCATCCTGGAGCATCACGACCTGGCCATTTATCTGCTGCCAGTCCAGTTGCACCTCATGCTGCTCAGGGCGGTACTCCTGACCCGAGGCCTCCACCACCGGCTGCTGCACAACAAACACAGGCTGCTGGGGCTGCTGGGGCGGCTGTGGCACCAACCTGTAGCCTGCTGGCACGGGTACGGGCACCTCTGTCGCGTCACCGGATCCCGAGGCGACAATGGCCGATCCCTGCATGGCCCTCGCTCCCTCCTCCAGTACTTTGGCCTTCATTGAGGCGGATTGGGAAGGCGCATGGTTGACAGACAGGGTGCCGGATGAGGCGGAGGGCGGCGGCAGCCCGAGGCGCGGCATAGCCATGCTTGCCTGAGGAGAAGATGATGGATGTAGCGCTTGGCCCTGTGCCAACTGTGTTGCGTTTGATGCAGTTCTTGATGCGGTCCTTGCCATGGGCTGGGCGGCCGGCGCCGTGGAGGAGGAGGGCTGTCCTTGGGAGGAGCTACCAGTTCGGGAGGGCTGCATTCCTGACGCCTGGCTGGTTGAGGGTGCACTCGCGGGCGGGTCTGGCAGCTGGAAGGAGCGCGCCCGCGCGGCGGCAAACAGCTGCTGCTGGAGCTCGATCTTGGCAGCACAACACACAGTCAGGATCACCAAGGCAGGTCCTTGGATCACCAAGGCAGGTCCTTGGATCCTGCAATGCATCTCTGGACATTGTGGGGTTAGTGAACCTGCACTCTGGAGCCATTTCCTGTTGTTCGTCGTTGGCCACCATCACCAGGAGGATTCAAAGGCCGTGTTCTGTCACCTCATGAAAATGCAGTCAAAGGACTCTGGCCTTTGGTTTTCACTGTTTTGAGGCTGGGCTGAGATTAGGACACCACGAGTGGACCAATTTCTCATTCAGCTCCGATTACCTAATACTGGCCAGTGTGAACACCATGGGCAACTCAGGCAACCCTTGATCGGTTTTAACATGCATTTCGCCCTCTCTGCTGTGGCATAACTGGCTTGCAGCTTCTGTAAACGAGCATTGTTCACATTGGCGAGATACCCGCCACACTCCCCTGTTGCTCCTACAGGCATTCATGCTTTTTGAATCCAGGGGCAGTAGCAGCACACCAGGAAGTAGCTCTGAAGTCTGCAAGTAGCAGGGAGACACACTTGCACATAATCTCCCGTCCGGGATGCAGCACAATGATATACAACGGCGGTTAAGGCTATTCTCAGACTTCACACTTCCATGGGCATCTTTCCCATTCTCACTGAAAATGAGCTGCAAAACGGGCAATCCTACCGTGCACAGTGTGTCTAATCAGGTTGGCCACAGGACACATTGCTTGTTTGCTCTGGAGACAACAGAGACAGAATGACAACAGCAAAAGCCACCCCAAGATTCACACCTGTTCCTCCTCTGTTAACCCGGCAGCATCAGCCGCTGACTTCTTCCCACCATTGCGCTGTCCACCTGGCAATTTTGAGAAGATCTCAAACTTTAGACTGACACTGCATCCACTTCAGATCCATCACTTTCACTCGACAGCAACACCTTGCCTTCTCTCTTCCTTGCATCAGCCACCCCGCACTGATGTTATTTGTGTTTTGCACTTGCACTTGCCTAGGGCTTCCAGCGCAGGGCGCTTGGCAAAACATGGCACAGAGTTCGGTTCACAATACCTTGATTCTTTGTAGTGAGTGCCGATGACCACAACGCCTCACAAGCAGGGCTGATTAGAGACAGTTCATGGGAGTGCACAGTGAGGCAAACTCTTGGATCTGAAGTCATGAGGACACGTGCAGCTACCACATCACTGTGGGGCTTAACAAGGCTGATCGACTCCCTGGTGCCCCCTGCACCAACACGCTGGCCCTAAACTCTGCACATGTCCAAATGAGCAGCAGTAACCATCACCTCGCTAGTGGAAAGGACAGGCAGGCCATCATAAGGGGGTGTTCTCCATTATCAGGAGATGTTTCCAAGGGCAACAAGAACAGGACAAGACACCTCCTCGCATTCGAAGACTGATGGTTCGACCAAAGTGGAGAACCCCAGACCGTCAAAGTTGGGCATCCAGCGACTGTGGCCACCCAGAATCCCCTGGAATGGCGATGCGCCGCAGCACATCCATTCTCCGGCTTGTCCCCCAAACAAGCAAGCAAGGAGCAGGCAACAAAGTGGCAATCCAGAGGCAGATAGCCTGAAACCCCTTGGGTCTGCGATGCCAAGCAGCCCATTCTCTCCTGGGCTCATCCCGCACCCAGGTCAGCAGAGAAACGACCCGGTAACGAGGTGTGCCGCCACCGCCAGACCCCACGCCTGCCCCGGCCGCCATGCTCCTCATCGCGGGGGCCAACGAGGCAACGGCAGCTGGGCTGAAGGCGGGATGAGTAAACGCGCGGTGCAGCTACCCCCCAGCGAGCAGCCCCCCAAAGCCGCGAATTTCGCCAAGGGGCCATTCCACTCACACTTGTTCCCCTGCTTCCAGTGCTCCCATGCGGCCGTCACGTCGGGCACGAACTCCTGGAAGCCCAGAGCGCGGAGGGCGCGGATCACGTGCTCCGGGTATATTGTGTTGCGCTTCTCCTCGGTGGACACCTCGTTGGACTCCGAAGACACCAGGCTCACAAACTCTGCGCAGCCCACCCCACAGCGTGTGACCACACCGGGCAAGGCGTGGGGGGCCGCCAGATTGGGCGGCAGGGGAGCGAGGGCCTGAATTTGGCCTCGAATTCTACCGCGATGCACGGATGGCCGGGGAAGGCCACCGCCGGGCTGTTCCAAGGCGTGGGCAAGGACCGGGGGACGAGTGACAGGTCCGGGTCAATTGCCAGGGGTGGGGAATTTGCCAGGCGGGCGCAGGGAGAGCGTAGGGCTGACTGCTCCAGCTGCGCAACCCCGCAGCCGCCGGAGCCAAAAGATGCAATCCAACCCCCCTGCGTCGCCGCGCGAGGCGCCCAAGCCGGATCGCAAGCGCAATTTTGCCGAGCGGCAAATCTGATGGCCGCCCGCAAGGGGACCGCCACACCCAGCTCACCCGTGCAGCACTCGATCAGCATGTCCGTGGCGTCCCCGGCCAGCCTCAGCTCGGGCGGCATGAACTCCTTGATCATCTTGGACAGCGTCGCTGCGTCCCACACCGAGCCACAAACGCACCCAGGTCAGCGCCCCCCATCCCCAGAGCCCTGCTCCAGTCCGCGCAAACCGGCCGGGCCCTACCCCCGGTGGTACCCCCGGGCCGGTGTGGCACCCCCCCCGACCCCCCACCTTTGGGCAGCGACACGTCGTTCTCGTCCATTATGGGCATCTTGCCTCGCGCAGGCGCTCCCTCGAAATCCTTCCCACACGGGATGCGAAGGACAAGATCGCCGAGGGGGGGTATAAGGGCGGTTCCCGTTGGTGGTGGGCGGCTTTCGGCGGCCGAGCTTTGGACCCCCTGGACCTGCTGGCGGTGGGCCCCGTGGCCTGAATATTTATAAGCCGCGCTGGCAAGGCGCCAGGGAAAGGGGGGAGGGGGGGGGGGGAGGCCAACGCACACCCAGGGGTGGGCGTGGACCCTCTGGTGACGGACGGGGACGCCTGACGCGGGTCGCAGTACTTTGGGGTCGCAGTAGTCAAGGGACGGGATTTTTGTGGCTTTCCCTGTAGTTAAGGGACGGGCGGAGTTTGCTGTTTTCTTGAGGGTTTTGGGTGCGGGGAGCTGTAGTTTGGGGCGGCTGTAGTTAAGGGACAGGCTGCGTGACGGTATTTTGTTGTTCACCCTGCGTGTTGGGTTAGGGCGTTTTTTTTTTTTTTTTTTCCCCTTATATTCCAAAATGTTTCATCACATTTCTGTGTCCATATGCCTCCCCCGTCCAATCGCCAGTTGTGTGGGCCTTGTTTGACGGTGCTTGCGATGTCATTTTTTGGTGTATGAAGCGCATCGCCAATGAGTAGAACGTTGTGAATAGAAGGTCGGCATTCGGCACGTTGGATGGCTGTGCATTAGCCTTTGGTGAGCCCCACCAGAAGGGACCCCATTCTCTGATGCGCCGCTACAGGGGCAACGGCGTCCCAAGGTGTTCCCGAGGTATTCAAAGTGCTGCAGCCGACCTGAGTCAAGGCCCCCTGGCCTTCATGCTGAAACGTGAAGCAATCAGACGTTGGATTGACGGTTTGGCTGGCGAACTGATCAATTGTGGATCGATCGATTGACGTCAGCAAAGGTGGTAGCAGTAATTCCTGCCATTGGTTATGATGCGCCACTGACACATGGCCCAACCAACACATCGCTCACACACGATGCTCGTCAAATAATCGTCAAATTAGCATGGCGCTAACGCGAGCAGAAATTGCACGACATGGGCAAATTTCTTTCCAAAGATGGGCCGGGGTTTGACGCTGAGCGAACGTCCCTTTGCCAGTGCCACATGAAAGATCGCGTGAATGAACAGGGCATCACACGTGGACGTTCGGTGCAGTGAGCTGTGGCACAAACGACATCTATGGGGGACGTCCATGTCAACAAGACCTGCGAAGTCTGCCACAATTCACAAGCCCAGAGCTCAGTGACAATTCATCCAGCGTCAGTATTCCCGCCCAAGCAGCCCTGCACTCTCAAGGAGTCTGAACGCATCGAAGTCCAGGATCTCTTCTTCGCCCTTGTGCGCAATACCAAACTGGTGAGCAGCTGGGCGAATCAGCAAGTACGGGAAAGTTACAGTGCTTGGGAACAAGCAGGCCACAAAGACGCCCGGGGGTTTCTATGGAAGCTGTGGGATGGCCCGATCCATGGCCCTTGAATGCCTCACGCACAACCTCCAGGCGTTCCACATCATGGGTCGCAGAAGTTGCACCTCGCTTCACCACTGGAACTCACAGTTGATCGCCGCTGTCGGGGTGTGCTGCAGCTCCCCAGTGGAGGCAAGGCAGCCTTCCAAAACAAATGGTGGCACCACAAAGCGCCAGAATCCCTTGGCTTGGATCAGGGGTTCATGGATGGCGGCATAAGGCCCCCCTCCACCTCCTTGCCCACAAACGGTTTGTCCGATGCCACTTCCTCCTCCTTTGGCTCCGGGATCTTGACGACGTCGGGCAACTGCCTCTTGGGGCCTGCCTTTCCTGTGGGGTCGTGATCCTTCATGATCTTGACCTGTGCAGCAGGGGCAAGAAACTTCAGTGCTGAAGTGAATCGCCAATCTAACATTCAGCGAGGTGTGGCTACTGCATGCCGATGGCCACTCAGCAGCAGCGAGTGGGAACCAACACAGCAAGGGGCATGCACACAGCCCCGCATCACTCGACACAAGCAGGGTCACACACACTCGACAGTTCCTCCACAGCCTCAAATGGTTTCATTCCATCGACGTCAACTCCAGGAATTTCGCGCTTGGTCCATCAGTGCAGCAAATACTCCAAAGCACAACTGACGGCGCATGCGCACATCCTGCCTTCAATCTTTTGTCAGCACTGTCTGCTGTGGCTTCACCCCACCTTGATGCCAAGCACGCCTTGCCGCAACAGCACGTGGCGCACCGCCGAGTCCACATACTCCCTCGTGGGGTCCCCGGCGGAGACCATGTACCCATCCTTGAACTTCATGGCCTTGGCGCGCTGAGCACGAAGCTTTCCGGACACAATGACCTCGCACCCCTTGGCCCCACTCTCCATAACAAACTTGAGCACACCATAGCAAGCCCTGTGCGCAGGCGCAAACAACGAAGTGACAAAGCTAACAACTCTGCATACTTTGGACCACCAACGCTGCTTGTTTCTTGAATATTCTGGAATAGTGCCACAACATTTCGTGGGCACGTTACAATAGCAATACAGCCTGCTCTGTGAGCGTAAGAATGGCAGCACAGCGTCCTTCGAATATCTTGGAATAATAATACAGCTTATGCTGAGTGTTTTGAGCAAGTTCGGAATCGCACAAGAGCACGCGCACATGGTCCCCTGGTTACCTGGACCAGGGCGCCTGTTTGAACGGCAGATTGCAGGCTGATTATGCAGAGTGATGTGTTGGTCGCTCAGAGAGCATAAAGCAACAGAGGCATTTTGTGAGTTTTCTAAAAGGGCTGAAGCTCTCATATCAGAAAGATCGCCGCGGGTACCTGCGAACGGCAAGACCACCCAACAGCTTGTATCTGAGCGACTCCGCCTGGGCGATGGCGCACAGGCCCCGGTTCTCGACCCTCTCGGCGTACAGCTCAACGCTGCCCTGGGAGAACTCAAACCGCTTCTGGACCACAGAGGTCAGCTCCCTGATCCTGCGGCCGTGCTCACCTGTGCAGGTGCACACAGATTTGCTTGCAGCGCACGGCACGCTTGCATTCCCCAACAATCTCTGCATTCCCAAACACAGTCTGCGGATGTATGACGTCCAAAACACACTGCGAAAACAACACGCACATGCCTGGCCCTGAATGCTCGCCACGATGCCAATGAATCAGGTGGACAATAGCGCACCATTCAGGGGACGAGATCCAAGGTTGTGCACCCATTTGCAGATCTACCACCCTTTTTAATGACGTGATACGGTATGTAAAGGACATTGTTGAGTACCTATCCCTGCCACGATATGTTAAATAACACCCAGGCAAACTCTTGGACCTCACATCTGGCACCACCGAGAACTTCTGTGTCCCTTGCTGTTAGCATAGGACCAGCACTTGGATGCCAGTATGTGATGTGATACCTTTGAAGAAAATGGCAGCGACTGCGACTCACCAAGAACATTCTGTGTCCTGGTCGCCCGAATGATGATCTCCGTTCGCATCGGCGTGACGCGCACCTCCACGCCCGAGTAGCCATCCTCGGCCAGCTCCCGTGTGAGCAGCTCGTTCAGCTCTGCATAGAAGACGCCATCTGCAACAAACTGCATTGGGCACCAGCATCAAAAGCCGCTGGAAGTTGCTCAAAGCCCCAATCCAACACGAATTGCATCAAAACAAAGTGTATCAGCGACTTGCAGGCAGCCGCCCTGCGAAACACTCCGCTCTCAAAATTTTCTTCCTTGTTGCTGGGGTGTCCACAGCCACCCATGCTCTGCTGTGCAAAAGCTCTGCGACGCACAGGAAGAAATCTGCAGCGCGAATGCGCGTGGACCAAAGGCGAGCGGGTGCCGCCGATGACCTGCACGTTCTGTATCCACCATTGGCCATTTCATCCTTTCCTGTCTTCTCAAGGGCCTCCTCACCGTCCCATGCCATGGTTAAAGCTCAGCGACCCGCAACAGCCCACTGCAAACTTGAATCTCCAGTCGCTTCCAGGCGCCAGGGACTCCCTTTGGACCCCGCCTCGCCGCCGCACCCATGGGGAAGCCACCCAGAAACGCCGGACAAAACCCAAAACTTGCGATTTGCAGCATCAACCCCAAGCGTGCCTCACACTGCCCACAAACTCAAACCCAGACCCCCGAGCGCAACTTTGAACCAATCCCGCTCTGATCGCCGCCAGACATCCGACAAAAAGAAAAAAAGAAAGAGTTGTCGCGGACAAGAAAAAGATCGCAAATTGCAGCGGCAACTCCGCCCATGCCCCACCTCGCGCACAAACGCCCCCCATAAACCCAAGCGCGTTTTTGAGCCGATCTCCCTTTGATCGGCAACAGACGTACGGAAAATCAAACGGATGGCGTCGCACCCTCTGTCAGCGGCGAGCGGCGAACGTGCAACGGGAGAGGGGAGGGGCCCTTAGGCGTGCCGTCAATCTCGAGGGCGAACGGCACATGAATTTATTTGATCCACACCTTTCTCTTCTTGCTCTTCTGCGTCGACATGGCTGCCTTTCGACCGCTCGCCGGTCGGCTGTCGCTGTGGGCGCGCAACGGGTGCAGCCGCCACGATGGCTGTTGGATCCAGCGTGCACTGGAGGAATACAGCTCCTGGGCAGTTTTTTTTTTTTGATCTGTTTTTTCGTTAGCTCTTTTCAGGAGTTTTTTCCCCTGTGCTTTCTTTCAGGGTCCCAGGAATGGTCGGCGCAGTCGTCGGGGAGAAACATTGGGCGCCAGCCGAACGGCCGGTGCTCAAGCCCTCGATTTGCATTTTGCATGGGAGTGGCAAAGGGCAGCCCCACATGTATCTTGGGTCGCGAACAACCCCTGACTGACCGACCGGTGTGGCTTGGTCACTGCTGGCGACAGAGCCTCCTCTACACGGCCCAGTTAGTCATCGTTGAGTTCCAGTCTGTGTCATGTGAACTGATGAAACGAAGAAAGTCATCCTCTCGCAGACTTCCATTCTTTGTTACCACTTCAAATCAGCTGTACTATGCCATTATGCCATTCTCATGTTCCGCACTTACTGCAGACTGCAGCCAGCAGCAATCTGCAGCTGCAGGTGCAAAGTGCATCTGCCTATTGGCCAGTGTGCATGCTGCACACCCTGGAATGACACCCCACTAGGCCTCTACTTGCGCAATAAAACACCCCAGTCTGCACCTTGGCTTGCATGGCCATGGTACATCAGACAATCCGTGACCGGAGCAGTGTCCGACGTCGTCTTGCAAGCGCAAGGGTTGCGGGCGTTTGCTCGTCAAGAAAGTCAGTCACAAACAGAGTCCTGGCTTTATAAGGACCAACACATACTTGTAAGGATCGGCCTTACAGGACTGATTATTCGTATGGGGCCAGTCCTTATAATTAGGCTAACTGATCAATCCTTGTAGGTATGTGTTAGGGTGTGGTGCACCTTAATACCCCGGTCAGGGCCCAGGTAGGCAAGCACGGCCTTGAATGTGGTTTGCATTTGCATGTGTGCGGCAAATGGCAGCCTCGCTCTTTGCGGGCAACGAGAGTAGATCCTGTTTCTGTCATTTGCTCAAAGCTTGCTTTCCTCGTTCTTGCACTGTGTGGGTGCACCTCAACGAAATGGACAGTGTCAAGCTACAGTGGTTTGACGTTGCGCATAACGTTTATGCGCATCTACACACTTTGCTCCTGAATGGATCAGTACTTTGTTCGCCCATGCGCCCACTGCGACGCCGTGGCGGCCCTATCGCATCGCCGCGATCCAGCAGCGAAGCCTCCGTGGGGAACAAGATGTAAAAACACAGCGTTGTAAAGTACTATCAGCAGTTTGGCCTTAGCACTTAACGCCTTGCGCCTCTCTTACCTGACGCAACATTAGCGACCCTCTTCCAACCGCCGTGTTTTGCCCATTGGGCAATGGCGCATTCGCTTCCCCAAACAATCTTCTAAACAATCTTCTCCCACACTGTTACAGTGCCTTTATTCTGCAGCCACACGCGGTGCGCCCCCACAGTGCTTCGCTGCACTGCGCCGGAAGGCACAATCACCAAACCCATCTCCTTCACCAGGCACGACCCCAAGTCGCCCGCGCATTGCGCATGGCCTGACAGGCGCCCTTCAATCCTTAGTGCCCCCAATTTCCGAGGATTCAAGGACCAAATTTTAAGTTTCACTGTCCTCCAACAGCAATTGCAATAAATGGCATTGAAGTCTAATGAAAGTTCTGTAAATTCGGCGACTGGCGCAGACTCAGTCATCTTCGGGCGTCCTCGGCTGCCGCCTCTGCTCCAGGTCCGAGGCGATTGACGTGTCCTGGCAGGCCCTCATGGTGTTCACGTGCTCCATTTCGTCGTCCCGTATGTTGCAGAAGACGTCGTACAGCGTGGAGCACTGGGGCCGCCGAGGCTGCACCGCCTTGTTGGTCTGCAGTGCATCAATCAATCAATCGACCATCCATCCATCCATCCATCATTCAATCAAATCAGTCAGTCAATCATTCAATCAATCAATCAAAACAGTAAATAAATAAATAAACAAATAAATAAATAAGTAAGTAAATAAGTAAATAAAAAAATAAAAAATAATAAATAACTCAGTCAGTCAAACAACTCAATCAATGATCGATCACCATCATCACCACTGGCATCGCCATTCACTGATACAAAACAAGGCAGCAAGGCAGGCATCGAGGGAGATCAATCAACCAGCCAAATGATCAATCAGTCAATGAGGTAACAAACTACGCTCCGCAATGTATCAAATAACAATCAATCAATCGGTCAATGATCAACCAATCACTCAATGGTCAATCAATCAGTCAATAACAGATTAGTCAACAAGGAAACGAACTGCGTGAAGCTGGTGAACGCAGTGGATTCACAGGCAAGGTAGGGGACTGGCAGCCACCACTCTGCCATGATCTGTAACACTTGTTGAATGGACACAGTCAATGCATCGACTGAGCTGTAACTGATGACACATAAAGCTGGTGACTCTCTTTGTTGCAACAACCGGTATATGACTCTATACTTTACAGCACTTGGTCGTGCCACTTTCCCTGAAAGGGCGCAGGAAAGCGTCATCAATGTCATGATAACAATCCAGCAATGCAGCAGCGCGCCATTTCATCGCCATTCATCTTTGCACGACAACGCACTGAAGTGCCCGTCAGCTCCTTATCCCGCCCAAAGCAAGCCCTGTGTATGGTCTGCTCATTGAAATCCAGTGTTCAGCACGAACAAAATCCGTGAATCTACCAACTCCCTATGCCAAGAATCGATATTCCTCTTCGGTATTCTCATCCCTGCTGATGGGACATGTCGCGGCGACGCCCGTCACACCTGGAAAGCATCGAACATGTAGATGTCGTTCCCGACGTAGTACTGAGCGGCAACACTGGGGGCGGGCAGCGCCTTGAGCATGTCGGCGTTGGAGTCCACGAACTCGCCGTAGGTGTCCACGGCGTGCGCCTCAATGAGCTCCGAGAAGTTGTAGGCGTTCTCAGGCGAGAAGAGGTAGAAGAGGAGCAGCACCCAGTAGTAGATGATGGCGGTGTGCTGGGCCAGGAACCTGTTGAGGGGCGGCAGGCGTGAGTGCATTGATTAACTGACATATTCATTACTAATTGATTGACAGATTGGTTAGTTGGCTGGATGGTTCTTTGGTTGATTGCTTTATTGGCTGACTGAGGCAATCGTTTAGTTGAGGAACGAAGTCTGAGTGGACGAAGTTGCCGGTGCTGTAAATATTCACAGATGGCAATGTTGTCGTAGATGGGCATGAGAGCAGAATAGCATATTATCTCTTTTTGGGCGAGAGTTCTGGCTGATGAATGCGACACTCTAGGTCTGCAGCGCAGTCATTACTCGTTGGCTCTCACTTCTGCACTCCCCCAACCCCCTCGAGGGTCGCGGAGTTGCCCTTGACATTTTCGGGCCCGCGTTTTGTTTTTTCTTTGGGTGATTTTGCTGCCAGTTTTGGGGACCGTTTGATGACAGTAGAACATAAATGTGGAGTGTATTGCATGTTGTTTCCTGGGAACACTGCCCGACATCGCCAGCTTGGTGACAGGGCTTGCTTTGCCATGATTTTGGCAAATGTAATTGCAATGGATTTAAAAAAAAAAGAGTAGAATAGCATAATGAAACATCCATCATGCTTACAACTTTACACATTTGCATTTATACCCTACTGTTCGTAATGACAGCAGCAGTATGATGAGAAACAAAGAATTTGCAGTAACTGTCGTTGCGCCTACAAGGCATCAGGGCACCGAGGTCAAAAGAGCCGAATTCGGAGACACTTGGCGGCACTCCGTAATCGAGCATCCGTGGCACCCGCCAGAGACCGCTGCCGCCGATCCACCGGTTTGTTTTGCCTTCCGCTTATTTGTGGCAACCAACGCACAAGAACCAATGAATGAACACATACACTAAGCAAACAACCAAGCAAGCAGACAAACGACACAGCAATACATGCAAACGCGCACACACGCATTGAATGCACAATGACGTGAATTTACCAAATTTCGAATTTTACCAAATTACCAAATTACCAGATTTCGATTTTGTTGTGTTGCGGCTTTGAACGCTGGCTGCAGAATCGCTGCAAGCATCCGCGGGCGTCACCTGTCGATCCAATTTCTGTCGCCCCCCAGCGACTCCATGATTTGGAGGTGGTGAAGCTCGTTCCACTCCTCGGCGAAGTGCACCTTGCGGAGCTCAGCCCCTGCACAGGCCAAAGCCAAAGTCTGTACAGACGATATTTTCCTTTTGCATGGGTGTACATGCCGTATACTTTGAGCAACAATGCACTTATCTTTGAATTCTTAATGTATTACGGTATGAGACGAACAGAGGAGCTCCCCCGCGAATCGTGCAGCACAGCTGGACCCTTTTCCAGCAAGAACCGATGTGGGGTGCCAAACAATAAGAGGGGGAGGAAAACATCAGTGTCCGACGAACGTTCAATGTCCCAGCGGGGGAGTCCTAAGCATCGAAAGAGAGAATGTCGTGAAGGAGAGAAAGGGCCCGTCAATTGATGTCCCAAATGTCCCAAGTGTCCTAGAAAGTATCGAGCAACAGTACATGCAACAAGCAATAAACAGATCAAACATGGGAAAAAAATTTGGACTGCGCAAGGCCTGGCGGCCAGACTCACGTAATCCGTGCGCTTCAAATCACTACTCCAAGTACTTAAAGCAAATTTTCAAACGGGCGAATCAGCATCTAAATCGATATGCAAACCAGTGCGTGAATAGCATATCAACGCATCAATCAGCAAGCAATTCAATGCCCAAAACTGTCCACAAATCATTACGTGAACCTGCATGCAAGCCAGTCCGCTAATCAGTACTTTAAAAACACCACACTGCCAGCTTCTAAGCGCATTCGTTCCCGCCATTGGACGGCTCACCAGCCCGCCACCAGCCTAGCGACTCGTACAGGTGCAGCATGCTGATGTAGCTGAAGTACGGCATACGCGCGATGACCTCCAGGAACCAGAACCGCTGCACGGGGCGGTTGTTGTACAGCACGTCCAGGGCGGTGCACAGCAGGAGGTAGGCGCCCTTGACGGGCAGCGAGGTGTCTATGCCGCCCCCCGCCTTCTCGCGCTTCCTCTCCCGTTGCCATATGGCGGCGTTGTCAAGCTTAAGCAGCCTGATCTTCGCCAGGATCTGGGGGGGGCAGGGGAAAGCGTCAGACGCTGATATTCCCTGGAATGGCACATAATGCAACATCGCATACGATATGATATCATAGCTGATGATTATTTCATGATGTGCATATAATGATGTCATGATGTCGAATATTCACATGTGTGCATACACAATATCGCCAGAACCAGGGAGGCAGGGGCAACTGGCCCAGAAATTGCATCCACTCGTTGTTACTTCTGATTCATTCGTTTCCCTTACTGGACTTCTTTCATCACCGTCATTCATTCTTACATTCCGCCTGCCCTCCGTCGGCAGGATCTGTGCGGAACGCCAAAAGAATTGACCTACGCTGTTTCAGCACCGCACGGGAGAATAAGCCGCTCAAATGGCGACACAAGCTTTTCGAAATGCGGAAATGCAGCTCACAGTACGGTGACAAGGCAATGAGGCGGCCGTAGGTTTTTGCTCGACGGCTCATTGGATCTGCTTTCCTTGGGTGCAATACGGAACTGAGAGGCTACCCACTTGTCTTGGCGCGTGCGGCTGAGAGGCATTTCCCGATCGGCTACTTGGCAACCGCTTGGCGAAATAAGTCACTGGCTGGCTGATTGTGTACCAGATGACAGGTCAACTGATCGACATTACCTTAAGGTCCATGCACTGACGCTGGCTTCCCTGTGGAAAATAGACAGTGGACGGATACCTAGTTCCCTTCATTCGCAATAGTGCTTGATTGCTTGATTTATTCATTAATTTATCTATTGAGTGATTTATTGATTGGTTTATTGAGTGACTGATGCATCAATCGATAATTCAACTGATTGGTCGATTCACCGGTTTATGCCAATTGCTATGTGTCAGTTTCTTTACGCCTATTGTTATATTATACGTCTATTATTGTCTGTTAATTCAATTCGGAAATTTGAACGAATGAACGAGTGATTGGCAAATGAATGGAAGGCAATAAACGCGTCAACAGGCGGCAGTCCCCTTCACCTCCGCGCACGCCTGGTTTTCCTCGTCTTCGCTGTCCTCAATTGCCTCGATCAACTCAGGACCGATTTCTTCGAAGATTTCGCGGTCCTCGAGGGCCTTGTCGAGCTTCGCCAGCCCGCCGACAACGTAGCCTCCAATCCAGTAGCCCAGCTGCGCGTACAGAACCGCACGCCTCACTGAAGTGAACCTTGCAAAGGGATACACATTAAAAAAGGAGGCCAAAATACACGGACTTGATAATCGTGTTAAACCGTGTACTTGTCGTATAAAATTGCGACCAAACCGTGCAGTAACGATTGAGTGAGTGTACACGATTTTTACACGTTTTGACAAGGTTTTGCACGATTTTTGCATGGTTGGAAACCGCGTACATCGGCCGATTTTTGCTGGTGGACGCAGGGCAGTACATTATCTTCATTGGAGCATAATGGTGGAGTCAGTGAGCAGGTTAAGCTTAACGATCACGTAAAAATCACCACCGATCAATTATTCCCATTGTCATTGTCCAGCGTCATCGAGTCATAGCTCCAGTCCAGCTATCGAGCCCTGCAAGCGCGCTGGCAATTACCCCTCCAGTCCAGTGAAGAACTGCATGGACAACATCCCACGACCTCGACGATGCGACTTGTGTGAGGTGAAGAAACAGGCAAACAACTTTGCGGCACTGCCTGATCAACAGCATTCGACACAAGTTTCTCCATTGCTGGACATCTTTCTCATAATCTTGCTTATCTCTGCTATTCTTGGATATCATTTTTGGCATGTCCTCGTGAATGCGAGGAACAACATCCCAGAGCGCGCATTGCCAGGGAGGGGTAGCGATATGGCCGCGCGCATGCTGGAAGCAAACAAGTCAGATTGCGGCCAAGACAGGGCCGTGGTGGCCACACGATTCTGTTTATTCCTTGCGCCTTCAGACACATAGTACTGGCCATCAGTACATAATGATATATCTTGCCCGGTTCTCCCCATCCAAGTATCACACAGCATTCACGAGCTGAACTGCTGCCCCCTCCTAACAGAAGCCACGTTGCGAGGTCGCAAACTACATTTCTATAGGCAATACATTGGTAACAGTTTAGTACCAAAACTTGCTGGACCAAGTTGTTTCAGTTCGCATTTGGTGTGTGTTCAAAAATCTCGGCTGTCACTGGGCGGGGTCGCAGCTTACCTTTCCAAGCGGAGACTGAGCTGGATTCTGTTGCGATATCCGTCTGTATTCGTCGAACCTCACTGACCGCCTCAGCGCCTTTAACTCAGCCCTGAAGTTCTCGATACCCTGACGAGCAACGACAAATAAAACTGCTTTGTGCAATCATTGTTCGTTACGAGCCGTACTTCAAGGATGCGCGCGGGCATGAAGTGACAACGAGCTCACCGTGCTCCACGCGGAGTGTGGAGTTATGAGGGCGGGAACAAGGCTTCAAGGACTACTTTATTTTGGCACTGGGGCACAGTACATATGCGTTACCTCACAGCCCCGACCCTGCGATGATATCGTTGGTCGGGTTACTCAGAGGACGCCGAGTGTGCAGCACACGCGGTGGTCCGAGCTTGTTATGAACAACGTGGAAAACAACAGAAAAAGATAAGAAACAGACAACAATATACATATCGTTTATTTGTTGCTGATTGTTCATTATTGTTTACTCGTTTACATGCAACTGAATAAATATTTATAGCGAGTTAAAAGAAATATCAGGTTGTCCGTTCATTCTTGCAGGTGCCAAAGTGACGCTGTGCCGCATGTTTTGGCAGGCGGCAGCAAGCCCAAGCGAGAAACCCGGCACTGAACTTCCCAACACCTCGAGGAGAAGTGGGAAAACGCCGGGGGGCTGTTGGTGCGGTGTGTGGGGCAATACACAAAATGCCAATGTAATTAATATACAAATTAAGAGATGAATTCTAAACCTTAATTGATTAATATACAAAATGAGAGACGCATTCTAAACGACAAGAGTAGCAAGCGTTGTAGTACCAAAACAAACAATATAAATTAATTAATATACATTAATTAATATAATTAATTAATATAATTAATTAATATACATTAATTAATATACATTAATTAATTTCAAGTGATGGGATGGGCAGGGATGTGCCCACGCTCACCTTTCAGTTGCAAGGGGACTGCCATGTCATGTTCTGGCACAAGGGTTGGAAAGGGCTCAAATGGACTAAAATGGGTCCAGTACACCCCACGACAGAGCTGCAGTGCGGCGCAATGTGGAAAAGCACAACAAACCACAGCACGCTGCCCCGGTTCTGCGACAAGATTACTATGATGCCACCATCGCTGACAGTGCCAAATTTGGCATTTGAATGCCATCAAAAGCCTCCAGTACTCTAGTGCCCAGATGCAACAAACGTGCGCTGTACTCAAGAGCGGTGCTCTTGGCGCGACGAGCTGTCGGTGCTTGACGACAGCTGCAGCCGCAACCGTCCAGTTTCGCTCAGCAAATTTGAACCCACCAGCTCCCACGCGCTCAGCGGGATCTCCCCGAAGCCTTCCTGGTACATTCGCCTGGTACCAGAGCGGAAGCCATAATCGCAGCACATGACCTGCGGACAGACGGCTCACAAACACCTCAGCCATCTGAAAACACACATTCTGCGCTGCATTTTCACCAATTGCCTTGTGAAGTGACCCTCAATTGCTACACGAAGCGTTAAGTAATTTATTACTACATCAAATGCTATGTACAAGAGTTGTGCTTGTGAATGTTGTATTGTTGCACTTGTGTTGCTTCCCATCATATTGGTATCGATTACTGTATGCTTATAATTGTACCGGTACCTATAAATAATACCTACTTCCTCAGTCCCAGATTAATGGTTGTCTATTTGAAAGATAAAATTCGTTACAAGGACAGCCTACAAATTACAAGACACGGTCAAAATCGAAAAAATTGGGTCCCAAACCCTGAACTACCAATTTTCAAGATAAAAACGTGAGGCACGATTTCTTTGAGCGTTAGCCAAAAGGTAAAATTTGGCCATTTTCGACCCCAAACATCGAGGTTTACCAGGTGACAAGACCCTCAAAACATAGCAGTGCCAAATCCTCAAAACTTAATGGACGACTTGAAACTTTTACAGTGCACTCCAAACACATAAGCACAACTTTGGGTAAAATTCCATTAAAAAAGTATATCGGTATGATGGAGAAATAGTGCCGTAAAGTCATAGACGACAATTAATCTGGGACGGAGGAAGCATATGTAATATATGTTATACGAAGGGTACCAGTATCTATGCTATCACCCTTCATATAAATATATATTACATGTTCACATTTTCTATCGGTATGCCATAGTTACTGCTTGTTGTAGTACCATTCCACCATTGTGATCTTAACACTGCTGTTGCTGCACAATTGTATTATTGCCTTTCTTGCACAGCACACACACAGTGCACACTTGCTGCATATGTGCAATCCAGTACCTCAGTGCAGTCAAGAGTCTAAGTGGATATGACTTCTGGCACCTACTTCGACAATGTCGCCATTTCTGTCATACACAGTGTCGCACTCACTCCGGAGCTGGATGGACTCAGGCACGGGGGCTGGAGCATCCGTCAGGCCATCGCTCACAGCTCTCATGGCATGGGATTGACGGGCCCTGCAGAACAACAGCCGCCTTCTTATTCCAAAACAGCAATTGTCAACATGTTTCCAGGTCATTCATAGTATAATCGTCATGTGTTAGAACTTCCAGTGTAGCACATAACATTCAAGAGTCCAGGTGCCAACGACTGCTGCAAGAAGAGATGTGGGGCAGCCATGCTCAGGCCCATGGAGTATGGTCTGTCAACAGCACTTGATAGCCACAGGCCTCAAGGGTCTAAGATGCAAGGGGCAGGAGTCAGTACATTACAGTAGTTGCAGTTGTTTGCAGTAGTTGCTTTGTAGTACAGTAGTGCTTGTACCACCCTTTCCTGAAAGAGTATTGGGCACAATGCTTGCAACTAGTTGGTAATGGTAGATCCAGCAGCACCCAACCATTGGCTTGCTCGCCAACAACCATGCCTCAGCATGGTGCACGTTTGCGCGAGGAGCAAATGGCAGCAGTCATGGGTTGAGGGACATGCACTTCAATGCATTTGAGCCCCTTCACGCTAAAACGCTATCCAGTGTGAGGCAAAAGCAACAGTGCAGTCATGATAGGGTACATGGATAGCAACAACGCGAACTGGCTGTTCCGTGCGAGGCCAAAAGGAAATATGCGATCACATTGCACACATGCAACGAATTCTTGCCTTGCTGTTGTAACGTGGAACAGGTTCTTGCAATCATTTTGCTCAAAAACAGGGAACCTGCGCTTTCACAAGTTTGTTTTGCTCGCTGAAATGAATAGTCAAGGAACATTACAGATGGACTCCTTTCTGCCATAATGTTTCAGGGTAGCACATTCTCATTTCTTGCAAGAGCAAAGATGTAACAGGCATTGAGCACACTGACCTCACCTAATGCACAGAGTGCATTCAGTTTGGGAAGCAATGAAGGCTGCATCGGGAAATTTCTTGCAAATTGTACTCAGTGACCTTAAAACCCCTTTCCCTGCCTGATGATCTTCCGTGAAACTCTTAGCCATGAGCGGACGCTGACCTCGGCGCTTCAGGCGGAAGCCGATGGGCTCCAACATGATGGGATTTGGAGGAATGACAGGAAAAAGGATGGAAAGCAAACTGCCCCGGGCGGCAAGATCGGTTCCCAAGCCTTGGGTGGCGACCTCTGGGCACAAAATGACAGGGACCAGGACAGGCTTGCAGGGATATACCAGAGGCATAGAGATGTCCGATCAGATATGCATCCAATCCATGCACAGCCATTCTGTGGGGCTTGCCATGGGAGCTCAGAACCTGCACTAGCGTCTAATGTCATGGCAGGAAGCTCACAAGAGCCAAATTGAAGTTTATGTATCCCACTTGACGGGCACAAATCTGACAGGGCTTGGCGGATGGATCAAGTCGATTGGGCAGCACGTCCCCCCCCCCAGCCTGTCGCGGCTTGTGATCACAAATTGAGAGGAACAGGGGCATCTATGCGGTGCCTGGGAGGGATGTATCTGGACCAACGCCACGGGGAAGGGCTCACGAAAGCCCGATCGACTTATGTATCCGACCTGATGGACACAAGCTGACAGGGGCTGGCACAGACATGCAGCGCCTGGGAGGACAGGACCACCACCAACGTCACGGGTGGGAGCTCACGAGAGCCAAATTGACGTTTACATCCAACCTGGTGGACACAGAGCTGACAGGGCTCTGCGGGCAGATAGAGTCGACTGGGCAGCACGACCCCACCGACCTGTCGTGGCTTCTAATCGCGTTCCGGCTGGCCGAAGGGCGAGGCGACGTTCCCCGAATCCCCACGCAACTGACGCCTTCCGCATTGATCTGTGATGCAGCCATCGCTGCCCGCGAGTTGGAGCCCTGAACCCTCCACAGGGGGCTTCTGGCGTCCCGCTGGGTGCCCGCCGATCGAAGCCACAGCAGCGGGGCAGCGAGTGCCCAGAATATACGATATCTTTCGTGGAGAGTGACGATTGGAGTTTTGGGCATTCGCCTCCAATGGCGTGGCTGACGGCGAGGGCTTGGCTCCATGTTGGAGCAAGCATGAGAATTAGTCCCTCACTTTTTTTTGTTTTTTTTTGGTGATTGTTGCTTCTTGTTTCGGACACCCCCAACCCTAAACCGCTCACCCACTGACCCGCGTTGGCCTTGTCAGCAGAAGGAGGGATCCTCAAGGAAAGGTGTTGGGATTATCGTATTCTCGCCAGAGCGCCGCATGCCGTGGAGGGTAAGAGCCTCTTATCCCAGCCCATTGTCTCCATCCAAGCGAACAAAGCGCGAATCCTCATCGTCGCCAGACTCAGCTGCTTTGATCATTTCATGCTGGTCATTGTTGCCTGCTGTCTAGTGAACCTCAGTATTAAATGCATGTATGAAATCTATGTTTTAAGCTGCTGTCTCTAGGACAGAGCAGTTGTTTCGCACCTGCTTTGGTCTCACCCAACAGATCCTTTGCGAACGATGGCAACAATAATTTGGTTGGCAAGTGCCCACAGTTTATTGACAACTATTAGGTCCAAGCGAATCGTCTCCTTTGCAAGGAACATGCAAAGCACCAATTCAAAATTTTCATCAATCTGGACGCTGTTAAAGATCATCACGTGATTTTGTGGAATGGGCGTTTTGCTAATGGAAAAAGACGCATGTATGCACGATCTTTGGCGATCCAACGTTGCTCCAGTGTGGGACAGAAACCGCAAGGACCTGGCAGTCTTGCATGGAGTAAAGCAGAAGACCTTACAACACTCTGATTCCCATTCCCTACGTATCTTTCCCATTCAAAAGGTCTCAATTCTGCCTTGTCAACATTCTTGCCTCTGGCAGTACCAAACACCATATGACACTGCATGCTGAAGCCACGCCGACACTTTGCCTATCCAGGTTATTCCTGTGCTTCTAAGTTCACAAGTGGCCCAACTGTCCACTGCCACCCTCAAGGCATGACACAACTAAGCCACCCTGCCTGCTGATGCTTCCCAACACTTTTCATGGTAGAGAGCAGCATCAGGATTAGTACGTCATAATACCATGTTGTACTGCTCTTTCCTGCAAGGCAACTTCTTGCCCCAATGCATGCAAACGGCGTCAGCTCTCTGCTGCCACCCAGCATGGCAAGGCACCGTCACACACCACAGCCCATCTCGACCGAACATCGGCGATTTCCACTTGAAGGCTTTGGCGGGTAGTGGCCTGCGGTTTCCAACGTGGCAGAACAACAGCACACCCCAGTCAGCCCCTGCGATCATGTTGTCCAGCCATCTTCTTTGCACAATACTGCCATCGATTCACAAGTCGCACTCAGGCAGCCAAAGCGACATAAGCAGGCCACCACAACTGCCAGCCCGCCAGGGTCACAGTGAATATGGCAACGTGAGGGTGGTATCTAGGCTGTTGAGGGCACCTACTCCCCTTAAAGCTTCCGCCCAAGAGCTGCATTATTACCCACCACAGCGCTTTCCATTTGTCTCCTGCAGCAAAACCTGGATGCCACACTGTTGCAACTGAGCAGCTACCTTTTGCAAACTCGCACACAATCACTTCCCTGCGGCAATCTCGATGCACCAAACTCAGGAACTGGCTGTTCCTGCAACTCTCTATCCCTTGCCATGGCATCTACCCCTTCCTGTAGCCACATATTCTGCGCTGAGCACTGCAAGCCTAGGCGCCTGCAACTTACTTGGCTTCTCAGCACATCAAACAGAACACTCCAGTGTATAGGGACGTCTGGCCACACAATTTCTGTCTGTCAACTGTGCACTTGCCACATTCTAGCAGCCTTAAGGACCTGACAGCACCTTTGTCATTGCGCCCATTTGGCCTTCACCCCTTGCCGCTTCCCTCCACCTTGGAAGAGCCCACAAACATCCTTCCAACGCATGGCCATTGCTCCTTGCTCTTCAAACAGCAACGGTCAGCTACATCTGAGGGCGGGTTGCATTGCAGGAAAAAAAAGGAATGGCCCCCTGCACTGGAATCTGTTCCAAAGGGATCATGGCCTCCAATGGTAGGTCTGGGAACCCAAGTGCATCATCGCTCCCAAACGGGCCACCAATCCAGCCCATCCACCCACAAGGCTCAGCAGCAGAAGTACGTGAGTCTTTTCTCAAAGAAGAGAAGCCCTTTCAGGCCAGATTAGAGGCACAAATGGCAACAGAGCTTGACTACAGCCCACCTATCCACAGATTCAGGCCAGCCGCATCCACACAACAGTAGCCCTTGCAGAACCTGTTGTTGATTCTGCAGCATCTCCCCAGTATCAAAATCTACATCAGTCCATGTGGGGCCTGTACTGTATCCCGCGGTGTCTCCTCCGGGCCTCCAGCCTCCTTAGCCTGGGCCCTGCCATGGCGTACACAAACGTGACTGACCCCCCGTACATCAGCCCCAGGAAGCTGACAATCACGCTGGCGGCCCCGATCACTGCCAGCGCAAAAAACACCACCCCACTGATGACGTCCGGCCGAAAGGACGCGATCAGCGACGGCAGTGCGAAGACGAAGAACAGCAGGGACATGAGCATGCCCGTTGTGAAGTTGATGCACACGATGACCACCAGGTTGAGTATCCTGCCCAGCGCGTCAGACTCCCTGGACAGCAGCAGCGAGTAGATCGCGTCCCACAGGCTCTGGCGCTGCGCGAAAAGCTTGCCGCGGCCGTAGGAATCCCAGAACAGCTGCCTGCCCTCGCTGAGCCCCGCCTCGCTCCAGATCCCCAGCTCGGCCTTTGCTGAGGCCAGCTTGGAGGCCTTTTCGGATCGCAGCCTCTCGACCTCCGCCCTCGCGGACGCCTCCGGCACCTGGAGCTCGCGAACGACCTTCCTGTGCTCAGGCCGGAACCGCCAGAACCACACCTGGGCCGCCTGCGCACAGGGTTGGTGCATCTCTCAGGAGCCAGATGATTGTGGGAGAAGCAACTGTGGGAAGTCAAAGGCATGTGACGGACAGGACACGGCCTAGAAAAACAGACACAAGAGGGCCAGACAATCTTCTTGAGGGAGAAGAATTCTTCAGAAGAAAGGTTTCGAGTGTTGTTCTTCACGGAAAGAACATCCTGTATGTTTCTTAAAGAAGGAAAGCATGGAAGGTATGTTTAGGGACAGGTTGTGCTCCTTTCAACACTGTGGGACACGCATTGCTTCTGTGAGGATGCAGAACAACTTATGGGAACACAGCTGCCTGGGAATGACACCTATTCAAATCTTTGCACCAAAGGGCCGTGACTTTGAGCAAATCTCACTCTGAATATGAAGCAATCGATATTTCTCTCATGAAGAAGAATACAATGACCACAAGCGATGGGACGCCCCTCCTGAGTAAAAGGGCTTAGACACTCTTCCAGGCCACAAGAAAGATGCGCAGATCAGCAAAAAGTGTGAGAATACGCACACAACAGCAAGAGATGCCTAGCAAGGAACGGAAAGAAGAAACAAGTCAGGGAGTGGACAAGCCCTGCTGAGCACTGAGTTTTGAGACTTCTATTCCTAAAGTGAATGGCAATACACAGATCTGTGAGTGCTTGTGAGCAGGTGCAAGACAGCAGCCAGTTATTAGCAGTTATTAGGGATAAAAGGTGCCAGTCATGCGACATGCAACCAAAGCCGAGCAACAATGTTGAAGACTCTGATCCACACCACAAAAGGTGGCGCCCACATCCACACACGCCTGATAAGAATTGCGCAACAATGAACAGCCCCTGACAGCAAGCATGCTTGCAACTGGCACTTCCAAAGACATCCAACACTCCACCTTCTCAAGCAGAGAACGAATCTGCAATTTGCAACAACAAGGCCCATGTACCAGCAAACAATCCCCCCAAACCCCTGCAAGTCTCCTTGTTCCATCTCGTCAACGACTATGCGACCAACGGCGATACGACCAACAACATCACGTTCAACGATGCAAAAACCGATGAACACCTAGCAAGAGCCACATTCTGCACATTTCCACTCTTTTCGTACAACCCTCCGAGTGCATGTTTTCTTGCCTGTCGTGCTCCCCGCGTTGTGCGCCCATCCATTCTCACTGGGAGACTCCACATCATATTTTCACACCACGGAAAGAGATTCTTGCACACATTCACCCGTTTTCTCTCTCTTACCTGCCCTACCACGCACTTGCTTAGGAGGGGCTACCTATTGTAGTCCCGTTTGGTCTTCCTCTTTGCGACAAATCTCACCCAGCACAACCCACACCTGCACCTCCCTGGCATACACTTCCTCAGAGGGGGTGCCCGTTGCAACACCAGTTGCTCTTTTTATTGCAACCAATATCACCCAGCAAAAACCATCACCTGTTTCTCTCTTTGCGACAGATCTCGACCATCAATACCCACACCTGCACCTGCCTCGCACACACTTGCTGAGGTGGGGGTGCCCTCTTGACCAGCTTCCCTCCGCAACAAGTCTCACCCTTTAAACCCACATCCGCACCTTACCTGCCATGCACATGCTCAGGAGGGGTTACCCTTTTGACCTGTTTTCTCTCTCTCTCTCTGTGCAACAAATCCCACCTGTCCAAAACCCACACCCACACCTGGCCTCACACACAATGGTAGGGGGCCCTCAGGAGGGGGTGCCCTTTCCATCACCAGTCTGTCTTCCCCTCTGCCACAAATCTCACTTAGCAAAACCCACACTATGACGGGTTCGCCTCAGGAGGGGTTGCCCTTTTCCACCATCAGTTTCTCTTCCCCTCTGCAACAAATCTCACCCACCAAAGCCCACACCTGCACCTGGCCTCGCACACACTTGCTCAGGAGTGGGTCCCCTTCGGACGACCAGCTTCTCAACACATCCTACCTGCACGTGCGCCCTGGCTTCCGCGTACTTTGCGTACGCCGACGCCAGCCTCGCCTCCGCGTTCTGCACCACCTCCATCTTCTCCTGAAACCTTGCCTGCATCTCGGGCGTGATCCTGACCGGCGCCGGCGACAGAAACACCGAAAACAGGCCCAGGAGCCACAGGCCCACCAGAGTGGCCACCTTGGGTGTTTGTTCAAGCCGTGAATGGCATGATTGCTTATCATGCCTTAGTGTTTGGTGGCAGGGTTTTGAGGATGATCTTGTGGGATGGTGGAGATGCCCAGTGTTTCTAGGGAGATTGAGCTGGGACTGATTGGGGTTGGGAAAAGGGAAAGGCCTGCTGGCGCTGTGTGAGGGGCGGGGTGCCGCCTGCCAAAGCGACTCGTGCCTCAACCCAAACCTTTTTCTCAATAGGCAGCGACGTTCGCACCGTGGATGTGCACTTCCATCGATTGCATGCTTGTCACCACAAGACAAGACGTGCTGGTGTAAGGGAATGGGGATCCAACGCCTGGGAAAGGGCAGAACATTAATCATTCGTGTAGGGAATGATGGAGTAGGGAGCGGGAGTGAGGTAATGGGCAGTTCGGGCATCGCGTGCGGCAGGGCTACGGGTGACATCGAGTTAGTACGGCTAGATGGACAGAAAATAGAGACGGCTAAGGGAGACTACGGGGTAGGGTGTGTTGACGGGAAACGAGGGACAGGGTAGCAATGTTAGGTATATTCCTGGGGTCGGTGGGAATTTCAAGGGAAAGCACACGACGTACACACACCACCGCCCAACCTGCCGCGAGCCACCACCACGACCGCACTAATACTCAAAGATGGATTTTGCATTGAAAGCAGGAGCCTGGAGAGTGAGCGGGAGGTTTGGCAGGGCTTGAGGTTTTGCGTTTTTAGCTGCAGGGTGATGGATGCCAGATGGGAGTTTGGCTTTGGCGGGAGCAGCTGCCCATGCTATAGGAGCCTCAGGGATTCTCTGGCTGCGCCGTGGGGCAGTTTGGGGACAGCGCCCGCCCGCCAGCGCCACTTCGTTTTCGAGGTGAATGTGTCCTGGGCGTCCCGTTGCCCCTGCCAGTAGGGGGCCTTGAGACCCCATCAATTTTTCTCGGCGGGAAGCCGCAGAAAGCCGGACGTAAAGGGCCTTTGACCAGGCTGGCGGTGTGAGGGTATGGTTGTGACCGGTGGGCTGGTGCGGGAGGGGGGTTGTGGTCCATGGGCTGGGGGTGGTGCTGACGGGAGTGGAAAATGTAGGCAGGTTTGTGCGCCCAGCCCGGTGCCCCTTATAGCACGTTGCCTGCGTGGAAGGCGCTCAATGCCTCGTGCACGGATTTGCTGTGAAGTTGTGCAAGGACTTGATAGAGAAGGGTAGAACGGCCCTGAACAGGTCAACAAAATGATGAAAATTGAATTGACGGGCGTTGAACAACCAGAAAACAATTGATCGACCGACAAAAGATATTTGGCTGTAATTGAGGCTGTCAGATTATATTAATACCTGCGCTCGATGGCTATCGCTGTGATCGCTGTAACACGGGCCGGTGAGTTCACGCAAGCTAATGCAGTATTTAACCTGAGCGATGAGCGCAGTTTGAGCATTTGGGTAGCGGCCACCGCATGCTGCGCTACCTTCGCATCGCCGAAAACGCCGCAGTTCCCAACCTCTCACCCCATTGGCCCCCCAAGCATTCCGTTCCGCCCCCAACACCTTGCACGATAATCACAAATGAGTAAATTTACACTGAATAGTGTCAGGAATAGACCACCTGCAACTTTCCAGAATTTCAACAACTGGTCGGTGTTGATGAAAATGCCCAGCCAGTCCTTCGGGCTGGTACCTTGACTACGTATAGTGCCCAAGGATACTAGCACATCATCAGCATACACCATCACGTCCAGCTTATCTTTAATTTAGGAGAAAGATCTTATGATAACTTGTGAACTACTTCTCAATCACTTTCTCTGACAGCTCACTCCAACTCTTTCGCAGTTGGCGAATTTGACTTCTGGTTAGGGATTGCTTCTGAGCGTCCTGTGTGTTTCTCTGTAAATTGTCCTTCACAGGAGCTGGGGGACACACTACACTACCGGGCTTAGATGCAGGCGTCAGCACCTGAGGGGGGCAGCTGGATTTGTCCTCTTTCTTTTCGATGTGACTCATGCCCTTTGATTCTTCATTGGACAAGATTTAAACTATAATAGGATGGTTTTGTATGTTCCAAGTATTGTAACTAATTCGCACTACTTTCAACCTCTGTTTCCCTTCAGTACTGGACCTTTCTGAGGCAGTACTCTATCAGTTTCGGACTGACCTTTACTAATCGCGCAATCGACTCAACTTTATCTTACCTTGATTGCTTACCTCCCTGTTTTGTTGTTTCCAGCCGCGCTCAGATTGGTTCCCACTTCAAGGGATCAAAACATCAATAGCCTTTTCGAAAGGCTTTCAGGATCGCAGTATATATTAATTATATTTATGAGTTCAGTACTTTAGTCTTCACTACTGTACTTTAGTGGGAGCCCCAAAGGCTTCCCCACTAAGTACAGGGCCGGATCTGGGACCCCGCAGGCTTCCCCAGTAGCTCCGGCCAAGAGTCCTTACTGAATTTATAGATGGTTTGGGGCCCCGCAGGTTTTCCCAATAGACCAGTCTATAATCAGTAAGATGACTCTTTAATGAGACAAAGATTGAGAAAATGAACTCCGAATTCAATTACACCGTGACCCTCCACGGGCCACAACCTGTACTACAAAGAGCGGTTTTTAGGTTACCAAGTCCCTCCGCCTATTGGCTTTGGGGCTGGCCACTTCGGAGTCGGAGCCGCTTTCGCTTGTCAATAGGGGTCTCTGCCCCGCTATTTATAGCCCACAGCGGCTGTCCCTACGCCAGGAATATTCCCTGAAAGATTCCGATCAGTCCCCTTTAGCTTCCCGGATCATTCACTCCCTGTCTTATCAGCTTCCCGCTCAAGATATTGATCCACAACCTGTCCCTATCCCGTTCACATGCTGATCCCTAGAAGTCCCAGGTTCAATTCCATCTCAGTCAAAGTCACTATCAAATATCTTTATGATCCATTCTACTTACTCTCCGTCACCTCAGTGATCCTCAAGATTCACAGACTGATCATAAACTTACATCGATCCAACAATGAAATGCACCTGAGCCCATGAGATGTCCATTCAGCTCAGAAACTTCTGTTGTTACGAATAGGATGTGGGTGTGGGGTTCCTGCCCTCTTTGAG